AGCAATAGCACAGCGGGTAGGGTGTTTGCCGTGCATGAAGCCGACCTGGGTTCGATTCCCAGCATCCCTGAGCACCACCAGGAGTAATTCCTGAGTGCAGAGCCAGGAGTAACCCCTGTGCATCGCGCTGGGTATGACGCAAAAAAGCCAAAAAAAAAAAAAAGTCTCCAAGGGGACTTTGATATGTGTGAAATAAATCTGGTTTCCTATAAGAACTGACATTTAAAATGAACCTTTTCAAATATAAGAAAGTGGAAATATACTATTTTTGTTTCAATTTAAGTCATCCTCTATTGAGAGAGCTGGATGGGAATCTTTGGATAATATTTTTGTTCTAGGAAATATATTGACATCATTTAAAATTTTATGGGCAGGACAAGAAAAAAAAACATCCAATCCGGAAAGAAAATGGGGTTACTTTTCAATTGAGTCACTTAAGATAGACCCATGCATCAAGAACAGAAGAACAGAAACTTTCTCAAAGAAGAGATTCGAATGGCCAAAAGGCACATGAAAAAAATCATCACAATCATCAGAGAGATGCAGATCAAAACAACAATGAGATATTATCTCACACCACTGAGTCTGGCACACATCCAGAAGAACAAAAACAACCAGTGTTGGAGCAGATATGGGGAGAAAGGGACTCTCCTTCATTGTTGGTGGAAATGCCTACTGGTCCTATGATGACAAATAAGAAATGGTAAATAAGAACCTGTATGTAATGAGAATTATGAAACTAATGAGAACTAAGACACTGAAACCAACCCCAAGTCAGCCAGAGAAGGGAGGAAGAGGTTTTTTTTTGTGTTGTATTACCCTAATCAGGTAGGATAAAGGCCCGGCAGATGAACGGGAGAACATGAGGCCTGCCAGACTTAGGGGAATGCATAGAAGGTTGTAGGATAACATTGATTTGTCCTTTCTGCCTTGCCACAGGGAGCTTAGGTTTATTGGGCTACTCTCATCACAGTGCTCCCATTTCTCTGTGTTTGTTACTTCTTTTTTTGTGTTCTGTTGACTTGTAAGTATTGTTTTTCTCTTCTCCTCAAGTCCTTTGCATAGTTAATTCAGAGCAATGTCCTTTTTGTATGGGCACAAGAAGACAGTAAATGCTATGCTTTTGTAAAGTGAGAGTTAATTGACTCTCAATGATATTTTTTTACCTCCTGGACATCTGTCCTCTCAACCTAGCCTCAGTTGCCCTAACTTCCTAGCACCTCCAAAGCAGGGTCCCAACAAGGGACTGGATGGACGATGGACCCAGGGCAAGCCATGAACTATGTGCTACCCTGGCATTGAAATCTAAAAAAAATCTAAGTAAGCTCATATGCTGTAATCAGTAGCTTAATTATTGTTATTTTATTGGGTCTATGTTATTACATTTCTTTTATAGTCATCAATAGAATTTATTTACTTATTTATTTTGTTTTCTTTTGTTTTTGCTTTCTGGGTCACATTCAGGAATCACTCCTGGTGGTGCTCAGAGGACCATAAGGGATGCTGGGAATCCGACACTGTTGGCCGAGTGCAAGGCAAACGCCCTACCCGCTATGTTATCGCTCCAGTCCCAAAAATTTATTCTTAACTTTTCAACTGAGTCACTTAGGATAGACCCATGCATCAAGAAAGCAAAACCAAAACAACACATGAAGATCTAACACTTTGAGGTCAGGAGAAACAAACCAAAATATTTTCCCCTCACAAATAAACAACCTCCACTCCTCATCCCTCATTCCCCCTTTATCATTTTGCAAACAAAAACAAGAAAAACAAACAGAACAAAATTTAGTGAAGGCTTCAACACTTGGGGCTGTTTAGAATAAAGCTTTCACCATTTAAAAAAAGGTAAAGGCCCTCCCGTTGATCATTGATTTGCTCGAGCGGGCCCAGTATTGTCTCCATTGGAGACTTTGTTGTTACTGTGTCTGGCATATCGAATACCTCACGGGGAGCTTGCCAGGCTCTGCCCTGCGGGCGAGATACTCTCGGTAGCTTGCCGGGCTCTCCGAGAGGGGCGGAGCAATCGAACTCGGGTCAGCCATGTTGGCTGCGTGCAAGGCAAACCCCCTACCGCTGTGCTGTCGCTCCAGCCTTTCACCATTTAATAGCATTTATTTTTAGGCACCAACACCAGGCCTTGGCAAAATAAATAAATAAATAAATAAATAAATAAATAAATAAAGTGTATATGTTTCTTTTTTAAAAAACAAATTTGAATTTTTTGACTTTGTGAAGGTTTCTTTAAGATGTGCATTCCTTTCTGCTTGCTCTAGTAAATGTATTACCACTTGGGACCTTGGATCGTTTGTCAATTTCCTTTCACAATGAGAGAGTACACAGTTAAATATGATTTGTTAATAGTAGCACTGTAGCACTGCCCTCCCGTTGTTCATTGATTTGCTGGAGCAGGCACCAGTAACGTCTTCATTGCGAGACTTGTTATTGTTTTTGGCATATCCAATACGCCACGGGAGCCTGCCAGACTCTGCCGTGCGGGTGGTATACTCTCGGTAGTTTGCCGGGCTCCCCGGGAGGGACTGAGGAATCGAACCCGGGTCGGTCTCCCGTACAAGGCAAATCCCCCTACCCACTGTGTAATGCTCTAATGTTCTGTGAATTGGCACTTTATGGGAGTTTGCCCACAAAAAAAAAAAAATAACCCTCATTTTATTTAGGTAACAAAGCGAATGGGGAAGAGGTTTGAGGTACACTTGCCTCAAAATATATCCTGCAAACACCATTCTGGTGCTTAACCTCCCTCCACTTTGTCATATAGCACTCCACATTCTCACAGAAGGGTTTGATAGGCTTTTTAAGTTGCGGCTTGTGACCCTAACTATGGTTGGGGGATTGAAGGGTCTACAAAAAGATCTTTAGCAGTCGTAAATGATTACTGAATACACAATGATCAAAAATTAAAAATTAAACATGATGAATCTTAAGCGTGTCACCAAATGCGCACCTGGGCTGCATTTCTCAGGCAATTGGGAAGGTTTAAGCAGACCTGTGTTAGGCCTCAGAAGACAATTCAATTGTGCTTAGCAGGACTTTCCTTTGGACAAGAGGATTTTCCCCGCCACTCAGAACCACCACAAGAACTTAGCTTGCCGGTCTCCTTCAACACTGATGCAATCAAGAGAAGGGCTGGTTTAAGCACAGTCAAGTCCTCCTCCACCTCCAACTATCATCCTGGGCCACCTAAATTTTCCTTTACCCGTCTCCTTTTTTATTCTTCTTTGATTGCTTATTTTCCCATTTCATGAAACATTTCCCAGTAGCTCAATAAAGAGCAGTTAAGAGGTAAATATTATCAAATATTTTATGACTTTATCACTTGACTTACTTGGCAGAATTTTACATACTAATCACATTTCTTTAGAATCCAAATGCACTGCTTCAATGTCATTAAACTTACTGTAAAGAAATCTGATTAACAGTTTGATTCTTGATCCTTTGACTTTTTCTCTCTTTTACTCTGAAAGCTTTTAGACTCTTTTTATTTACATTCTGAAAATTGATGTCTTTCAGTCCTGTAATTTTTCTTGAATTGTTTAATAATTCCCCTCTGGACTGCTCTTCCAACTTCCTAATCTTTGTTTTTGAGGAATTTTTTTATTTTGCTTTCCTCAAATCTGTTGTTCTTCATCTGTTTTCTTAGTTCTAATTTCCAAGAACCATTATACTGCTTCTTATTACCTCCCCTACTTTTTTCTTTTCCTTTTTCTTTTTCATTATGCTACGGCTTCATCTCATGTTTTGGTTTTGGTTTTCTAAAGCATTTTCCCTGCAGTGAATGTTTCCTCCATATTCCTTTTGCTTTTGTTGAAAGCTCTTAGTTTTCTGTTACAGGATTTTTATTGTTTGTGGTCTATGATTAAAAGGAGAAGATAGAAATCAGAAAGAGGAAGTTTTGTGTGGACTGGTGCTTTCGAGTATGAATTTCCCTGCAGGTTCCTCTGATTGGTCAAGAAAAGCCTTATCTTTGGTTAGGTGCAAAGTCACGTACTTCCCTTAAAGATGTATTACTCAAACACAGAATTTACCCAATGCAAAGAATTAAAATTCCAAAATTGGGTGTGTGTTGTTGGGGAGTGTGTGTGCGCATGTGTGTAGGGGAAGCAACTGTCCAATCTTGTGTGTGTGTGTGTGTGTGTGTGTACGGAAGCAACTGTCCAATTTTGCAACCCTGAACTTTTGAATTTAAATTGGTTTCAATTGACTTTGTTTCACACTTCCTTTCCAGGGCGCCAAATTTTATTGCTGGCACTTCCTTGTCACCGAGAGTTTAGGGTTTTACTGGAATTTAAACGTGGAAGAGCAATCAGAAGATTGTGTTCAGATCAGTACCTGAAGAATGGAATCACAAGACTGTCCCGATCATGTTTGAGTTATCCAAGATTCGACTGCTTTATTTTTGGGGTCTCTCAATCTTCGGACTCCACGAACAGCCCACAGCTAACCACGCTGGGGGATGGGGGATATAGGTGCAGTCTTCCGAACTACGTCGAGTGGTTCGCTGCGCGCTAGCGGCTCTAGGTAGCAGGGATACACGTGACCTTCTCTTTGATTTACCCTCCTGGTCCCCAACCGCGCCGCGAGGGTGCATTCGATCCAACTTGCTTCCGAGAGTCAGGCCCCGCCCCGCCCACTATGCCCCTCCCCTCCCAAGCTCTTCTGGCCGGTCCTCGCCCCCTTTTTTTAACCTCCGTGACAGGCCCCGCCCTATCCCGTTTATTTACATGGAAGGCCCCTCCCCTCCCCGCTCATCTACTGGGCAAGCCCCGCCCCGCCCCGCCGATCTCCTTGGCAGACCCCGCCCTGCCCTGTGCCCCGCTGCGCCCAGCAGATCCCAGGCCTGGTCCGCAGTAACTGACTCTGTAGGTCCAGCCCCGTTCGGTCCGGCTACGCCCAGCAGCAGGCCCCCGCCCCGGCGCATCCCGCTCCGCCCCTGCCTAGTCCTGGCTAGAGGCTTCAGCTCGGCCGCGCACGAGCCTCGCGGCGACCTTCCGCTTTCTTATACCAACCGAAGGCGGGTGGAAGACCGCTGCAGTGGCCTGCTGCCATGTCTCGGCCGTCTCCCGGACCCGGGCTGCTCCAGGGCGCTTCAGGGCTCGCCCCCCTGCTGCTGGCGGTGCTGCTGGCGCTGGCACTGCGGGCCGGGAGCGGGGCCGACTGCCCGTGCCAGGACCCCGCGCTGTGCCGCCCGATCACCCACCACCCAGATTTCGAGGTCAGCGCCGCTCCCTCCCCTCCGGGTCTGGGCTCTCTCGGCCCGACGCGAGCCCTGAAAAGGGTGGTGTAGGTGCCGAAAGGAGTTCGGATTCTCCCTGAGGCTCCTTTTGCTCCCGGGTTTCTTGCGCACGGGGGAGCTCTGGCTTGGAGAGGCGCAGTCAGGTGCTCCTGGGCTTAGTGTAACGGGTTAGCGAGGGGGAGGCGTAGTAGTCGGGCAGCACCTCCCAAAGCAAGCCCCTTCCGTGACCCGCACGCTCCTCGGGTCACGGAGTAAAAGCAGGAAGGTCGGACACGAGTGAGCCCAGGTGGATGAAGACCCACTTGGTTTCCAAGAGACTGAGGGTTTAGTCTGAAACCCAGCGGTGCCTTGGAAGACTTTCACCCCTGCCAGCCCTTGGCAGCACCCGAAACTGCCCAAGGACGGTGGCAGAATCCGTATGTCCACAAAATGTTCTTCGACCTGCTTTAATACTTCGTAAGACCTTTACAACTTTGATCAGACATACCTTGAGAGGCAATATGAAAACTGCCTGCACTGCCAAGAATTTGGCAGCGACTGGATGCTGTCAGGGAGTGGGAATGGCTTAACCCAAAAAGGGGCAGTTCCCAATTCTTAACCTACATTGTCTTTAAGGTAAGGGATACAAAAATGCACATTGCTTGGGAGACGGAACGAGATCCAAGTGTTTATGTAGAACCTGCCGAGTGTGTAAATGATCAATATCTGAAAGTTTGATATCATACTCACTTCTTGCTCACTTAATGCCACCTTCTTGGCAATTTCAAAGTCAGCCTTGCAAGGCAGAAGAGTTGTTCATTATACATAGTTAATGGCCCTTTTCTCTACTGATCTTTTCTGTACTTTCGCAATACAAAGACAAAAACACATTTCTTTTTTCCCCTTATCTGGTCAATTGGTTGATGCAGCTTAAAAAAATTCTATTGCATTGCAAGTTATTTTTTCGTAACACATTTAATTGCAGTTATGAGTTCAAATATAATTGTGTGTAAAAACAATAGCTCACTCTATTTACTGTAATTTTTAATTTAATTTTTGGATTTAGGGCCATTCAACAGTGCTCAGGGTTTATTCCTGCTTTGTGCTCAGGTATCATTCCTGGCAGGCTCAAGGAACCTTCTGGGATGCCTGAGAACCAACTGGGTCGGCAGTGTGTAAGGCAAATGCCCTAGCTCTTGTCGCCCTACATGCTGTACTATCGCTCTGGCCCAATTTTACTCTAATTTTATTATTTCGGTGGGCAATTTCCTGCAAGTCTGCCCAAAATTTTTAATTTCTAACCTCTAAGCTCAGTTTCCTAGGTAAAAGTTAATTTTACAACACTGGATTTAAGAAATAAAATACTATCTAAACGTTGGTTTTTCTTTCTTAATTGTCAGTTGGTCCATAAAATATTTTGCCTATTCCTTCCCCTTGCACCCCCCCCCCCTTCAGGTGTAAAATGGTCAAAGATCAAAGAACACTGGCATAAGTTACCTGATAACATAGTATTAATGTTTTTAGTTGCATAAAGTTTATTGCATCACCACCAAAATGCGCATAACCCCACACCACTGTCCTCAAAAAATTACTGTAATTTAGCTTATATATTTATAATAAAGTGGATGTTTATGACTTTGGTGTACATAGTTACCTCACCTTACCACCACGGAAGTGCCCAAGACCACCCAAGACCTTTTAGCAATGCCTTTATGTTACTTCCAGTCCACTTCATCATGACTCTCTGTGCGCTTCACCACCCTAGTCCCCCAAACCTGGTATTCTCAGTTCTGTAATCCAATGCCCAGGATTTGTTATCACATGATATTGTCCATGCCCTTTGCTTCTCTATATGCAACAATAAGTGAGACCATCCAGTACTTGCCCTCCTTATTTTGCTCAGCATGAAGATGTATGAAAATTCATTTTTCTCTTCTGGCTGCATAGTATTCCATTTTGTTTATATACCACTATTTATCCATTCTTTTGCTGTTGGACATTTAGGACTATTTCCATATCCTGGCTATTGAACTAAGTACTGTAACGAACATTTGTTTTCTGTGATACCTCCAAACTTCTTTTTTAAAAATCAGAATGGCTTTGGCTATTTTGGGAGTTTATGATTCCAACATTCCCAGAAACACTGCATGTTTTAACCACACTCCCACCAACACCAGTTATCTGCAGCCTTTCTGATATATGCCGTTCCACTGGTGCCAGATGATACCTCACTGATATTGTGATTCGCATGTCCTTAATTAATGAACACTTTCATACCCTTATTAGCCATCTCTATGTCCTCTTCATGGAGGTTTGTGTTCATCATCTCTCATTTTTTGATGGGCTTATTTACTTGTAAGTGCTTTATATACTTTGAATATTAGTCCCCTTTTTGTTGTACTGTGGGCAAATATTCTCTCCCATTCAGTATAGTATCTTTTAGTTTTAGTCTTGTCTCTTTTTTCACATAAAACTTTTTAATTTGATGTAATCTTACTTTTTGTTTTTGCCAATGGAATCTAATAATTTAAAACAGCATTGAGCTCCAGATCCTGGAAATTAGAGGCTGTATTTTCTTCAATTCTATGGGTTCTGTAATCTTGAGTTTTGTTATCCACTCCATTAACTTTTGTGAATGGCGTCAGATTGCCTATATGTGTACACACACACACACACACACACACACACACACACACACATTCTTTGCACATAGTTATTCTTTTTCTCAGCACCATTTGTTGAAGAGGCTTTCCTTGTTCTACTTCATGCACACAGCTCCTTTGTCATAGAATAACTGCTCACAGATTTGAGGGTTTACCTTTGGGCACTCGATTCTAATCTATTGGTCTGATTATCTATCCTTCTTCCAGTACCATTTTGGGTTTGTTTTTCGCTTGGGGTCCACACCTGACAATGCTCAGGACTTCCTCCTGACTTTGCACTCAGGAATTAGTCCTGGTAGTACTCGGGACAATACAAGATGCCAGTGGCCAAACCCGGGTTGACCTCATGCAAGGCAAAAGCCTTTCCCACTGTCTTATCGCTATGGCCCTGAAAATACAATGTTGTTTGGATTAAAATAGCTTTAGAGTATAAAGTCAGGAAATGTGATACCTCCCAACTTCTTTTTTAAAAATCAGAATAGCTTTGGCTATTTGGGGTGTTATGTTTCCATACAAATTTTAAATATCTGTAATTTAATAACTAAGAGGCACCTGTCTGGTCTCTCTATTAACCTCAGTGTCAATATTGCCTAATGATAAACAAACTGCATACCTTATTGCAATTCGATCAGTTTTTACCAAATCAATGAACTAATACCTTATTTGAATTATTGAATCTGCTTCTAGAATTATCGGTGGGGGAATCAATGCATCAACCAACTTAGAATTTCACTTGAGTCCTACTCTAAATCAAGAATCACTTAGCTAATGCAGTATCTATGATTCCAGCTGAGTGTTGACATTTAAAATCATCTACCTCCTCCCCATTCTTAGCCTTGCACATTCATCTAGTCACAATGTCCTATTACTGCTTCTCTATTATTCTAGGTCAGGTCACTGCCATCTCCTTATTGGATTTTCCAATAATTTCCTTATTCTCTCTCTAGCTTTAGTCTTAGTTTTTCACTTCAGAAGGGACTTTTCTAAAATGCATATATTCTCTTTTTTAAATGATCTTCATGAGGATAAATTACTACTTTCTCAAGAGGCTTACAAGGTTTTTCATAATTTACCTGTACCTACCACACTTTAGTTGTTCACTGCTAACTCCCTCCAAATTCTAGGTGTTGGCCATATTCACTGTTTACTTACATAACCACCAACTTTCTCTACCTCCAGGCTCTGACTCTACTGACACTCTTTCTTCCTTGCCAACTTTTCCCTATTTTCTAGGTCTGGCTAATTTTCCCTATTTCTTCCCCAAAGTGCCCAGACAAATGCGCCCAGATACTCCCTACTGGGTTGCTATGCAGGGACAGGGCCTATATGCTATCCAGGGACAGATCTTATCTGCAATGGCACCTGTTGCCATACTCCACACTCTGGTATCTATTACTGAGACCTCTATTCACTGTTGTACTCTCAGGGCCTACCAGTACTGGACATATGGGTGTTTAGTTAATGTTATTTTGGGTGATCAGCATGCTATCCTTAGTTTAGTGATGGTGTTTACATGGTTGTTCTGGCAGGTCTTTGTATTTGATGTTGGAAAGAAAACTTGGAAATCTTATGACTGGTCACAGATTACAACTGTGGCAATTTTTGGAAGATATGATCCAGAACTTATGTGTTATGCTCATTCAAAAGGAGTAAGAGTTGTGCTAAAAGGTGAGTTTCTTTACCATGTATGTCCAATCAGTTAAGTTCCACATCACTTACTACGCTGACTTTCCAAAAAGTTCCCTTTTCATTTATATCTGCTGTATATTTTTAAAGCTCTGTAGCACTGTCATCCTGTTGTTCATCGATTTGCTTGAGTGGGCACCAGTAACGTCTCCATTGTGAGACTTGTTACTGTTTTTGGCATATCAAATACCCCATGGGGAGCTTGCCAGGCTCTGCCATGCAGGCGGGATACTCTTGGTAGTTTGCTGGGCTTTCCAAGAGCGACAGAGGAATTGAACCTGGGTTGGCCGTGTGCAAGGCAAACGCCCTACCTGCTGTCCTACAGCTCCAGCCCATATATATTTTTAAAGAGTCAAATAATTCACTATATGGATTTGAGCAAATGTTACTACTAATTAGCATGATAACCATTAGTCATGGTCCATAATTTTTTGCTAATGCAAGAATGGTTTTTACTAACTATTCATAATCCATTTTTAAATACTGGAATATTAAAACTAGCATCTTGAATATTTCAATACAATGAAATAAACTTATGTTTTGTTTTGGGGACCCTCTCAGCAGTGCTCAGGGTTTATTCCAGGCTCTGTGTTCAGGGATCACTCTTTTGGGGACCATAGAAAGTGCCAGGGATCAAACCCAGTTTCGTTGCATACAAGACAAGTACTATCTCTTGAGCTTGAATGAGACATTTTAAAGATATTTTTATTTCTTTAGACTGTGAGAAACAATGTTGTTGAACTGTGGATTGTATAAGTGTGTACAAAAAAAAATCTATATTTCTTCTATATAGGAGCTGTGTCTTTAAAGGATATCATTGATCCTATTTTTAGAGCATCCTGGATAAATCAAAAACTTGAGTTGGCCAAAATCCAATATATGGATGGAATTAATATAGACATAGAGGAAGAAGTTAATTGTTCATCACCTGAATATGATGCATTAACTGCTTTAGTTAAAGAAACCACAGATTCTTTCCACCAGGAAATTGAGGGATCACAGGTAAAAATTCATTTGCTACTTTTTGAAACCTCTTATTTTACTTATGAAAACATGTTTATTAAATTTAACTAATCAAATCTTAGTTTTATAGTAAAGGGATAGAAAGTGATTTTAGTACATTTCCTAAAAAAATTCCTATGGAACTTTTGTGGTTATTATTAGAAAATTTTTAAGAATTTTGTCATGCTAAATCTTTTCTTTTCAGTCAAAATACAGTACTGGGATAGCTCCATCTACTTGTCTTTAGCAGCACTAAAAAATATTAGATAACAGAATTAGCAAGAATAAGCAAGGGCTTAGCTGATCACATACGGAGGATGAAACACTTGCTTTAGAGTAGAATGAAATCTGGGGAAACTTTCATTTACTTCACAGACTCCGAGTTACTTGCAAAGCATCTGAGGTCCAATGAGGCTAAAGTCTAATTGCATAGAGCTAGTCAGAGCTATAAAAAAAGGTAACATGCTTCTCTAATACTACAATGAACCTAGTTACAATAGGTTATACCAGGATATCTGAGTTACAAAGAATAATGTTGCCCCAGATCAGTGATTTACTCCCAGATCTAGTCACTTAATAATCAGGAGTCTTAAAAAGAAAATGTATATATGCACCTATAATCCCAGATTACTATTTAGAAGTATTTGGATGAATTCGCAGTTGATATTTTGAAAATGTGTCATTGCTGACTATGGTTAAGAACTGCTAGGAGATTCTGGACCACATGACATATGGGACTCATGAATTCCCTCTACCCTTGGATGCAAAGAATGTACAATTACATGTAGAAAGACTTACACTGGGAGAAATCACAAAATGAAATGACATTTACAGATCAAGGATCTTGGAAAAGTGACATCAAAATGAGTAGGATAGACTAAGACAGTTATCCCAGATAAAACCCTACTCTGTAGTATACAGCACAACAGTGGGAAGGGAACCTCTAATTCCCAGCTTCTCCCTGAGAGGCAAAGATTTTGGATCTCACATCTAGTGCCACTACGACTTTCCAAGCTCTCACATGAGGGATGCCCTAGGGCCCTAGGAGAGCACATAACTTACTGGCTTGCCCTGGTTCCATCCAGTCCCACGTCGATTATTCTCTTTCCTGTTCCTAGCAGCAGGGTCCTAGTCTCGTCATTGCTTTTGGATCATGACAGCATTTGCCTATGATCAAACTCTTAACTTATAGTTAAGAATCGTGGAACCTTGGCCTGGCCCATCTTGATGCCAGGGTAGCACATAACTTACCGGCTTGCCCTGGTTCCATCCAGTCCCACGTCGGGACTCTGCTTTTGGGGTGCTAGGAAGTGAGGGCAACTGAGGCTTAAGTTGAGAAGGCAGATGCCCAGGAGTGAATAATATTCAAGGCCAATCAATTCCTAAGTTACCGAGCATATTAATTAATTGTCTTCCTGTATCTACACAAAAGGACATTGCATTAAAGTAAACTGCTCAAAAGACATAAGGAGAGGAGAAAGGTAATATTAACTTACAGTACAGCTTCAGTGTCTAAGAAGGATGAGACCTTACAAATTGGTTGGGGAAGAGAGCATAGAAGTGGTTACAGACAGACAAAGTAATGGGAGTGTCTTGGGAGCACTGTGATGGGTGCAACCTGATAAACCTAAGCTCCGTGTACTCCAACACTATTTAGCTTGAACAGTTTTAAAAAACTTTTGTATTTGAATTCTTTCATTGTGCTTTTACTGTTCAGGTACTTAGGGGACAAACCAAGTTTATTGTCATTAAGCTTGTTTCAGTCATGTAAGTTACCAGTCCAGCCTATGGAGACATTTGAGTTTAGGGCCCTGTTCCTGGTTATTGTGTATGTTCAAATATGTCTGGGTGAAAATATATGCCTATTATATAAATATACATTCAAAATATTTTCCAAATAAATGACAAAGTTAGTTCATGAAGGCACAATATGTATTTCTAAGGAGAGTTCTAGTACTCTGTCACGTGTATATAGATTCATATATATGAGTTGTTTTTTTCTTGGATAGTATAAAACATGAGAATATATAATTAATAAAACCTGGTATAATATGGATATTTGTTCATTTTGCATAAATTGGTATGATTGCCACAGGTAACCTTTGATGTGGCTTGGTCTCCAAAGTGCATTGACAGAAGGTGCTATAATTATACTGGAATTGCAGATGCTTGCGACTTTCTTTTTGTGATGTCTTATGATGAACAAAGTCAAATCTGGTCAGAATGTATTGCAGCAGCCAATGCTCCATATAATCAGACATTAAGAGGTAAGAATTCACAAATGATCATTTATTCATTAATTCTAAAACCTTTCCAAAAATTAAAATTATTTAAACATTTCTAAGATATCTGTATAATCTTTTTTTGTTTCTGTGGGTGACACCTAGCAGTGCTCAGGGGTTACTCCTGGCTCTGCACTCAGGAATCACTCCTGGTGGTGCTTTGGGGACCATATGGGATGCTGGGAATTGCTACTAGGTCAACTGCATGCAAGTCAAGCATCTTAGCTGATGTACTAGCTTTCGAGCTCCTTACTAGTATAATCATTTACATTTGAAAAGCTTTTTTTGTTTTGCTTTGTTTTTTTGTTTTTGCTTTTTTTGGGTCACACCTGGAGATGCACAGGGGTTACTCCTGGCTCTGCACTCAGGAATTACCCCTGGCGGTGCTCAGGGGACCATATGGGATGCAGGGGATCAAACTCGGGTTGGCTGCATGCAAGGCAAATGCCCTACCAGCTGTGCTATTGTTCCTGCCTCTGAAAAGCTTTCTTGAGACATATAATTTAATTTGGAGAGATTTTAAAGTTTAAAACATTCTTGGTCATTTTCACGTAATTCTTCAAAAATCTTGCGGATAGTTATATTACTATTAACCTTCTACAGCAGATGAAATGCTCATGATTGCATAATTGGGACTCAAGCATATTACACAAAGGAAATGTTTGTTTAGGTAGAGTTTCAAGACTTTTAAAAATAACCAATTAGGGGCTGGAGTGATAGCACAGTGGGCAGGGCGTTTGCCTTGCACGCGGCCAACCCGGGTTCAATTCTCAGCATCCCATATGGTCCCCTGAGCACCGTCAGGAGTAATTCCTGAGTGCAGAGCCAGGAGTAACCCCTGTGCATTGCCAGGTGTGACCCAAAAAGCAAAAAAAAAAAAAAAACCAACCAATTTAATAGCAAACACAATTATTATGTAAGTATATAATAATATGATTGATAAGACTGACTTTGTTAGATTTGGCATTTAATACGAATGATAAATTGAAAATCAATATTCCTGCTAGATGAAGAGTATTCCTCTCATTGATATCTCGACTTTTAATTATTCTTTCTAAAAGTTTAGAATGGTTTATATCTTATATTAGTCAGTTGAATAAAAAACTGCTTCCTTTCTTTTGAACTCAGCTGAAAAATTCTAGGGTGGTTGGTGCTGATATACCTGTCTGATTAATAAATACAAAATATTTTTCATATATCACTGTATCACTGTCATCCCATTGTTCACTGATTTACTCGAGTGGGCGCCAATAATGTCTCTATTCCTCCCAGCCCTGAGATTTGCGCTGCCTCTCCTTACTCGTCTTTCCCAGCAATTGGAGGCTCTTTGAGGGTAAGGGGAATGAGACCTGGTATCGTTACTGTTTTTGGCATGTCAAATACACCACGGGTAGCTTGCCAATCTCTGCCTGTGCGGGTGGGATACTCTCAGTAGCTTGCCGGGCTCTCCAAGAGCTTCATATAAAGGTAAAATTTTAGAACCTGGTCTCATTTTTATCAAATGTTCGACTAGAGTAGTTTGATCACAAGTGTATACTACTTAAAATAAAAAATGATTCATTATAATTACAAAGTCAAATTATGTTTCATGGAAGAGATAATCAATTCATACTATGTTTGAGAAGTGATGCATATTCCACCCATCTCTTAAATATTTAACAACACAAAATAACTTTAATGGCTCTAAAAAAGAAGAAAATTTACTTAAGCTCAACTTTCTGGATAATCCTGGATCATCTTGGATCCAATAATGTTGGATCATCTCTTGCTAAGAAACCATTCTGTATCATTGTGCTAGAAACAAGTCGATAATACCAGGAATTTTTTTTTTTAATAAGTAAAGGATACTTATAAAATATGGAACAACTCTTCCTATGAGAAATTCAGAAACCATCCCTGCAAGAAAGTCTAAGACTTACAGAACATTTTTGAAAGTTTAGAATATTGGATATGAAGTTTATATACACAGCTGCATGCTTTCCTTATGTGTCCTTAAATTCTATACTTAGAATTAAAATGTGAAGTTTTGACTTTAATGTGATCAAGTGTTTCTTAATATTTTCTTGTTAAAGAAAGAAATGGGCCAGTAAGAGTAAGGAATTGTTAGTTCTTTTTGTTTTTGTTCTTTGGGCCACACCTGGCAACGCTCAGGATGTTACTCCTGGGTCTACACTCAGGAATCACTCCTGGCAGGGTTTGGGGGACCATATGGGATGTCATGGATGGAACCTGAGTCAGCCAGGTGCAAGGCAAGTGCCTTACCTGCTGAGCTATTGCTCCAGCCCCAAAGAACTCTGGTTCTTAGAGGATACCTTTTATCAGAAAAGAGAAATGCTATGTTAGTATTATTTTGTATAAATATGCCTGATTTTATTAACTTAGATTTTGATTTATTAACTTAGATTTTGAATGACTGCATAACTTGCCTGAACATATTATTAGACATATAAAAAAAATAAGCTTTTTCTGTCCCTGTTTGATTAGGATATGATGACTACATCAAGATGGGTATTAACCCTAAGAAACTTGTTATGGGTGTCCCCTGGTATGGTTATGATTATGCCTGCTTGAATCTATCAGAAGTAAGAACAATAATTTATGTTATTCTTCCTCTTTCTTTGTATTTTGAAAAACTGTTTAATTTATAGAAGATTTATTTAAAATTTAGAAATATGTGTACTTAACATATTTTGAGACTGAAAAATAGGTGTATTTTTAGTTATTAAATACTATGAAAATATTTAAATGTATATCTTCACTTATTAATGAAACTTAAATTTTTACTTTTATAAGCTTTATTTAAAATTTAGAAATATGTGTATTTAACATATGAACTAAAATTTCTGAAAAATATTTTGAGATGGAAAAATAGGTTTATTTTTAATTATCAAATACTATGAAAGGATTTAAATTTACATCTCCACTTACTAATGAAACTTAAAAATTTTTACAAATTAGCTATTCGTATTTAAAATAATATGCATTTTATGTCTAATAGTTCATTACTTTTCTGATTTAATTCTTTATGCCTGTCTTATTAATCACTTGTAACATAAATATTCTTTTCATTTTTAGGATCATGTTTGTACCATTGCAAAAGTCCCTTTCCGGGGGGCACCTTGTAGTGATGCTGCAGGACGTCAGGTGCCCTATAAAGTGATCATGAAGCAAGTAAATAGTTCTATTTCTGGGAGTCAGTGGAATACAGACCAGCAGGCTCCTTATTATAATTATAAAGTAAGACTTTTCACAACTTATAAACATTCAATTTTTACAATTATACATTTCTGAATAACATTTCTGTATACATTTCTGTAAACATATAATTATACAATTATACATTTTTACAATGTATACATTTGAAACTATCAATAGAATTTCCATCAGTTTTCTTTTAAGCACAACACAGAGATTTCTGTTTAGATGCACTAACTTGCCTTTAAATATGAATCACCAGGAACTTTACTTCTCTGATGAGTAATTCCAGTAATGCTTGTAACGGAATTGCTCCACACAGGCCACTTGTCATTTTAGATGGTGTTATAGAAACATGCTAATCATAAACAGGATTTCCTTAATATTTTACTAATATGTATAATAGCTGTGGCTTTTGAAAGAGCTTTGGGTGAAGAGGTGTCCAGCTCTAAACGTCCATATCATTTCAAATTTCAAAACTCAGGCAACCTATGTCTTATTAGACAAATTATAATGTTAAAAAAATAAAAATAAGGAAAAGAGAGACAGTATAATGGTTAAAGTGCTTGCCTAAATACTAGCAGGATTATGATAAAATTTAAGGTATCTCTCTCTTTTTTTTTTTTTTTTTTTTGCTTTTTGGGTCACACCTGGCGATGCACAGGGGTTACTCCTGGCTCTGCACTCAGGAGTCACTCCTGGCAGTTGCTCAGGGGATCATATGGGATGCTGGAATCGAATCCTGGTCGGCCACGTGTAAGGCAAATACCTACCTGCTGTGTTATCTCTATAGCTCCTTAAGGTTTATCTTGGGTTTGCTCCTGAATATTAAAAAATTAGTATTTCTATACTTAGATTAGGCTCTACAAATTCTTTTAGTAGCAAATCACAATTGTTACTAGAGCATGCTCATGGCTATTTTCCAGTTTTAAAGATTTTAAACAGGAGCTGGAGTGTTAGTACAGCATGCTGCCTACCAGAGTTTGATCCTAGGCATCTCATATGTTCCCCCTTGCCCACCACGAGTGACCCCTGAAGGCACAATCAGGGGTAATCCCCAAGCACCACCAGGTGTGTGGCCCCCCCCTTTTTTTTTGCTTTTTGGGTCACACCTGGCAATTCTCAGGGGTTACTCCTGGTTCATGCACTTAGGAACTACTCCTGGCTGTGCTCAGGGAACCATATGGGATGCTAGGCAAACACCCTACCTGCTGTGCTATCACTCCAGCCCCAAAACAAAATATTTTCAACATTTTTTTTTCTTTTTGGGTCACAACTGGCGATGCACAGGGGTTACTCCTGGCTCTACACTCAGGAATTACCCCTGGCAGTGGTCAGGGGACCATATAGGATGCTGGAAATCAAACCCGGGTCGGCCGTGTGCAAGGCAAACGCCCTACCCACTGTGCCATCACTCCAGCCCCTATTTTCAACATTTTAATATATTATATGAGATATACTTGTAAGTAGTCTATCATGTGCCACAGCTTATTCATTTACTAATAGTTATTTTAGGGCACTAGTCTAACTCCAGTGATACTGCCATAACTAAAAGTATTACTGGCATTAGTTGAGAACTGCCTTTAAAGTTTCATGTATATAAATATCAGTAAATTGTTATTATTTTGGTTTTGGGTGGCCACACCCAGTGACACTTGGGGCTTCCTCCTGACTCTGTGCTCTGCGCTCAGGGATCATTCCTGGTGGGGCTTAGGGGACCATCTGGGGTTCCAGCAATCCACCCTACAAACTGTACTTATCATTCACTCCAGACCCCAGTAAATTATTTTTAAACGTAAGTGTTCTGTTTTAGCTTCCCCTTCCCCCTTTCTGCTTCTTTCATTTTTTATCTAATAGCTTGTAAGTTTTCTAAAGGAGAGGCAGGAAATCATACAGAAAAGTGCTTTATAGGGTAGAAGGTGAGAGTAAAACTATATTTTAGTGGTCTACTGTAAAGTTCTTGATCAGGTTATGCAAAGGTTAACCAGAGTCCAGTTTTGATAGGTTTTTGGAATCATTTATTTAAGACATACAAAAGGAGATATTTTTCTCTTCCATTGTTATTACCTTTTTTTAAAAAAAAATCTGGCTGTCATCAAAAACAAAATCACATGTTGACCTAATAAGGAACATTTCCAGGTACTGTAAGGAATACAAAGAAGTATATAAGTTGGTTTTAGAAAACTAAGAATAGTAATCCTTTTTTACTTTGGGTGCATATCGAAATTATCTAATGAAACACTAAGCCCAGAACAAACAAATATACTAGTCTGAAATATTCTGATTTAGTAGGTTTCATGTGGCATGAGTGTCAGAGTCTGTTTTAAAAAGCCCCATAAGTGATTTGGATATACATCTTAGGTAATATACATCTTAGATAATACTTATGCTCAAAAATCAGAGCAAGAGAAGAATCTTAGGACAAGAGAACAACCTTAAATAGAACATAATAGTAGACCCAATTGCATAGTCTCTTCTGTTGTTAAAGTGCCAAAAGCAATGATATTTAGAAAGTATCTCATACTGAATCATAGAATCATGCAACCAGAAAGTCACTTGCCCTAAAATCTTTATGTCATTGACTCCTTTTCCTAGTTCTTAGATTTAAGAAGCCTTTTCCCCTATTACTGTGGATAATATTTTTAAATTTTCATTTTTATTTATATAGGATAATTCTGGCCGTTTTCATCAAGTATGGTACGATAATCCTCAAAGTATTTCTTTAAAGGTAGCATACATAAAGAACCATGGCTTGCGGGGCATTGGCATGTGGAATGCAAACTGTCTTGACTACTCTGAAGATGCTATAGCCAAACAGCAAACTGAAGAAATGTGGCAAGCCTTAAAACCAAAACTGTGACAGAGATGAGCATCTTTTGTCAAACTATTGAAATTTTCAAAATTTACAGTTTATACAAGTGTATATAGTTTAATATTGCTCCATACTAGTATACTCAAAAGCAGATGAAGAATACTTTGAACCTGAAAATAAATGTTACTTAAATATATATTTTATATGGAAATATAAGCTTAAGATACATTAAATATTATAATTATGCTTTGATTATGTAATTATAAAATCTAGTTAATTGTGTATGTAATTTAAGGTATATTTACACACTATAGTTGTGTAACTACGCATGAATGTATATAATTATGAGCATTAATATAAAATTAGAAGAAATTGTCCTCAAAATGCTGTGCAAAAAATTTACCCCAGTATTAAAATATATGCTTAAAAATATATACTATTTGAAAATATATTTATAATTTGAAGTGAAAACTTGCTTATAATCAGTTTTTTAAAAAATAAAATCTGAAGAAATGATTTGCTCTGTACTATAAAAAAAAACTCTAAATTTATTTTTAGGGGGCCTCTTAAGCATTGTTCAGGATGCCTGGTAGTGCTTGAGAGCAGAACCGGGTGGTATTCATCCAATTATGTCAGAGGACCATATGTGAAGCTGGGGTCAGGTGCAATTTCGGCATGCACCTTAACCCCTGTACTAGTTTTCCAGTTCAGTATCTCTAAATTCAAGTCTGCAATTTAGTCGATTTTGTTGTTTTACATTTAAATTTCCTGAAACACTTTTTTAATATCCATATGAAAAGTGGAAAAAAATACAGATTTATATAAAATATATTTTATAAAACATAAAATATCTGTTAAGAAAACAGTCAAACATATTCAGTTATTTACTATTTTTGATTAATAGAAGTTTTGAATTAGCATACCTGGTTGAGATTGTGAAAGAATATTTGTCTTCTGTGCCAGTTCAGCTTTTAAGTTACGTAAATTGGAAACTGCTTGTTTTCTCATCTATTGAAAGAATTACCTTTCAAAAATGCACTTTCATCTTACCCTTCTAAAATTACAGAATTGTCATACAAATATGAACTTATTAAAACTTCTTCTCCCATTTGCCTCCAATATCTTCATTCCCACTGAATTACTATAATATGTAAATTACAAATCTGGTTAAATAAGCATATTTATTTTCTGAGAAGTGTTCTATCTCATAATTTCATTGATTAGTACATAGGCATAATAAAATCAAAATTCTGAAAAATTAGAGTGAGAAAGAACTTTAATTTTTGCTTAAGTGTCAGAAACTGTTGTGATTAAGAAATAAAGAGGAAAAATAAACCCCCCAAACTCTGATTTCCCAGGTGTTAGAAACTGAGGAGAAATATACTGTTAAGAAATATACTGTTTACTATGTAGCAAGTACTCGTACAAGTGGAAACCCTTTGATTGTTAAAAAAAAACCCACTTTTGAGGAAGATAGTTTTGATACTATTTTTTATCTCCACTTTAGAGCTGATGGGCTAGCCTAGAGGAAATTGCTCAAGTTACAAAATTTGCACAGCCAGGATCCAAAATGAAACCATCTATTACCAGATCCCTTATTATTCCAAGTACTGTCTAGGAAAGCTTAGCTTCATGTTAGGAAAAAGGACTCATAGGCTTCACCCTTGACCTAGAATAAAGCCCTAATTTAACAGGATCCTCAAATTTCATTATATTTTGTAAAGCACTGCTTAGCTGTACTATGTTGAATGTTCTACAACTGAGTCAGGATAGCTTTTTTGCCCCTTAATTTCTAATCTTATAGGTAGTTTTGGGTTAACCACTGGAAATTAATACTAATACCTATCATTTTTACTACATATCAGGCACTATGGTTAAATTTTTTTTCCCTCAGTCTATAAGCAGAAAACTTGACTGAAATTTTTGTCTGTGTTTCCATTTTTGTACTAATATTTTAATGGAAACAACCTTTCAAGTCTTACTTCTAAGGCTAATTACAGTAAGCCCTAATGTATACACAATCCAAAAGAAAAGAAGATTGAGCAAGTAATAATTGAAGACTCTGGGAGTATTTATTATTTATTGTACCAACACAACTATGTTTAAGTGTACAAATTTTCAGGGTTTTGTCTTATTTTTTTTTCCCCTTTTCTTTTGTTTTCCATTTGTTTTTTTTTTTTTTTTTGGCTTTCTGGGCCACACCCAGCGATGCTCAGGATGTTATTCCTGGCTCTGCACTCAGGAAGTATTCCTGGTGATACTCGGGGGACCATATGGGATGTCCAGGATCGAATCCAGGTTAGCCACGTGCAAGGCAAACACCCTATCCCCTGTACTATCTCTCTGGTCCCTGTTTCTATTTTTTGAATACATAAATTAATTCACAAAAACAATTATTTGAGTTCACACTAAACTATATTAAATAATTCATATTTTGTTTAAAAATTGACTTGTAAAAAGAATAATAAAATAAAAACTGACTTGTGTCCTTTTCAGTTTTAAGTATCTCAAAGTTGAGCCAGGGTTTACCCATGAGGATGCTGCTAATAAAAAGACTCTAGGACTCCACTGTTCAGTACAATAACTATTTCCCAAATGCAGCTATTTAAACTGAAAAAAATTGTTCTAAATTAAAATTCAACGCCTCTGCTGTGCAACAGGCTACACTTCAAGTGCTCAATATCCTTCTAGTTGCTGCTGTGTCAGATAATGAAGGTAAGCAGCATTTTCATGAATATTGTAGAAAGTTCTACTAGTGTGTGCTGATTCCAGAAAGAGATCATTAATCTGTGTTCTCAAACTCTTTTGATAAAGAAGTGAATTGAAAGCATTCATATAATTACCAGTATTATTTCCTATTTGATGTGAAAACTTGTGTGAAAATATAAAATTCCACTAGAACTGCAGATTTTGTCTATAGAACTGAGTTTACATGGATGTGGAGGGGCTGGGAGGGGCCCATGAGATACTGGTGGAGGGAGACAGGCATTCTGGTGGTGGGTGTAGTGTTAGTATGATGTATGCATTTTAGGTAGAATTAACAGTATTGGAAACCTTTGTGCCTCAATAAAAATGGCAAACAATTTTTTTTAAGTATAATTCTCTTCTGTACTCATCAACAAAAGAGCTGTTTAAGACATCTTCAGTGATCACCCCTTGTGATAATTATCATGATGATCATCAAACAAATAAAGCATTCCCAGTATCCTTACTATACAGAAAATCCTATGGGAGAAACAAAGTTATATAAGACAGACTTTGCTTTGAGCGAAATTGTTCTAACATCCCATAGAAAACGTATGATTTATATGTAAAGTAAAAAGTAAAGTAAAGGCCCTCCCGTTGATCATCGATTTGCTCGAGCGGGCCCAGTAATGTCTCCATTGGAGACTTTGTTGTTACTGTGGCTGGCATATTGAATATGTCCGGGGAGTTTGCCAGGCTCTGCCGTGCGGGCGAGATACTCTCGGTAGCTTGCTGGGCTCTCCGAGAGGGGTGGAGGAATCGAACTCGGGTCGGCCATGTTGGCTGCGTGCAAGGCAAACGCCCTACCGCTGTGCTATCGCTCCAGCCCCGATTTATATGTAAAAAATACATATATGAAATATGCAAGAGGAAGAGAGGAAGAAAAGCTCAGTGGTTTGTCTATTAATGAATATCTCTAATCTAGGAAAACAATTTCTTTTAATATATATAATTTTTTTTTTTGGGGGGTGAAAGGTCACACTGAAGCAGTGCTTAGAGAGCTATTCCCAGCTCATTGTGCTTGACTATGCTTGGAAGATCCTGCTATACTGGAATTGAACCTTACAGCAAAGGGTCAGCTATACTGGGTCTCTTACAGCAAAGTGGGCTCTAGTGGGCTCTAATTTATATTGATTCATAGTGCCATTTTCCTTAGTTCCTTAGTAGAACTTCCTTATTAAATCCTTAGTAAAATTTTTCAAAAATTTTCTTCCTTGAGCTCCCATTTGACCCAGCAATGCCATTTCTGGGAATATACGCTAGGGGTCCAAAAATACAGAGCAGAAACACCATCTGCACTCCTATGTTCATTGTAGCACTATTACCATAGCCAGAATCTGGAAATAACCTGAGTGCCCAAGAACAGACAAATGGATAAAGAAACTATGGCACATCTACACAATACTATGTATATTGGTAATACCATGAATACAATGCAGCTGTTAGGAAAAACAAAGTCATGAAATGGATGGACATGGAGATTATGAGTGGAATGAGTCAGAAGGAGAGGAACAGATATAGAATGACTTCATTCATTTGTGATATTCATTTGGGGGTGGGAAGAGACAGATCAGACACACACACACACACACACACACACACACAGAGAGAGAGAGAGAGAGAGAGATGTACCTGCTTCCAGGCAGGGGGTGGGGAGTTGGGAGGTGATGGGAGGTAACCTGGGGACACTGGTGTTAGGAAATGTTCACTGGTGGAGGGATGCTGTTAGAATACTGTTGGAATATATACTTAAATATATATATATATATATATATATATATATTCCAAGAGTACCGTGATATTCATTTGGGGGGGGGGAGAGACAGAGACAGAGATTATACACATACACACACACACATACACACACACACACACATATATACATACACACACACATATATACATACTATATATAGTAAAAGTAAAGTAAAGTAAAGGCCCTCCCGTTGATCATCGATTTGCTCGAGCGGGCCCAGTAACGTCTCCATTGGAGACTTTGTTGTTACTGTGTCTGGCATATCGAATACTCTCGGTAGCTTGCTGGGCTCTCCGAGAGGGGCGGCGGAATCGAACTCGGGTCGGCCATGTTGGCTGCGTGCAAGGCAAACGCCCTACCCGCTGTGCTATCGCTAATATCCATGGTCAGGGAAAACAGGAGCTAGGAGGACTTGTCAATGGTTGGAACTAACCAAAAGTATGTAGGGGGGGGCTGAGGGTAGGTAGGTAAGATAGAGAAGAGGCTAGTATGACAATAGCTGGGAATGATCATGCTGAACAAGATTTGAGGGTTAAAAAGTAGGTAAAGGCATTTTCTTGATAACCTTTCATTGCCAATGTTGCAAACCACAATACCCAAAAGGGGACTGTGGGGGTGGGGGGAGAGAAAGAAAGAGGGAGAGAGGGAGAGAGAGAGAGAGAGAGAGAGAGAGAGAGAGAGAGAGAGAGAGAGAGAGAGAGAGAAATGTACCTGACATAGAGGCAGGGAGGGAACCTGGGGACACTGGTGCTGGGAAATGTACACTGGGTGGAGGGATGCTGTTGGAATACTATATAACTGAAATCTAATCATCAACAGCTTTGTAAAGGATCTATCTCACAGTGATTCAATAAAAAAAAGTTAAAAAAATTTATTCTTGCATTTGTTTTCATGTATGCACTTTTTGGTTAGGGTTATTTTAGAGACAATTCCTACTACACTTATGCTATTAATACCCCAAATTAGAATTGCAAAATATTTTATTTCAATATAAATTTTATAAATATGATCAAAATAAATTTAAATTACCTTTATTTCCAGTATAAGTTTCATTTTTTCAATATCCAATTTTCTCTTAAGTTGGTCAATTTCATGTTGTACCTCAGCGATCTTGATTATAAGATAATTCTGTGTGGGATATGTAAAGATATCTTTATTTAGAATAATTCTACAATTTAAAATTATTTTCTATTTCTATTACACCCCATTTTTTGGTCCCACCCTGCTGTGCCCAGGACTTATTACTGGTTTTGTGCTCAGGGGTCATCCCTGATGGTATTTGGGGAACCATATGCAGTGCCAGAGACTAAATCAGGGTAAACTGTTGGCAAAGCAAACATCTAAACCCGTGCACCATCTCTCTGACTCCCCATTTTATTTTTATTTATTTTCTTTTTCTTTTTATTTATTTATTTATTTATTTATTTATTTTGGCTTTTGGGGTCACACCTGGTGATGCACAGGGGTTACTCCTGGCTCTGCACTAAGGAATTACTCCTGGAGGTTCTCAGGGGACCATATGGGATGCTGGGAATCGAATTTGGGTCAGCCTTGTGCAAGGCAAATGCTCTACCTGCTGTGCTATCGCTCCAGCACCCCCATATTTATTCTTAACTGCCTATTGAAATAAACTATGATAAACAAGTATCATATGAACAAATCATACGTTTAACTTATTCCATTAAAACCAACATATTGCTGGGGGCTGGAGCAATAGCACAGCAGGTAGGGTGTTTGCCTTGCATGTGGCTGACCCGGGTTTGATTCCCAGCATCTCATATGGTCCCTTGAGCAATGCCAGGAGTAATTCCTGAGTGCAGAGCCAGGAGTAACCGGGTGTGACCCAAAAATCAAAAAATAAATAAACTTAAATCAACATATTGCTTTGGAATAAGTTATATTTATTTCATTTATTTTAAGGACCACTTTATCTTCTGTTGTACTATCATGACTCATGTATTGTAAAAATAGGTATTTGTATAAATTATAATTAAATTAGTTCCATAAAAGCTAACAACTATTACTACAAAATGAATAAACTATGTTTCTTTTATAGCCAATTATTTTTTAGAAAGAAGTACAAACAGCTACCACAAAGAGTAGAAAAACCAAATTTTGGCAACATCTCACTGCCATTTACCAATTTCTCCACCAAAACCATCAACTGCATTTTGATTATTCTGAAAACATCAGTATTTAGAAACATATTACCATGCATACAATAAATGTTTATTGTATATCTATTTGTCATGTTGTTTTAGAAGGATTTTAAAAATTGGTATCTGTTAATTCTCGAGGGTGGCACTGAAGAGTTTCGGTGAAATGGTATCACCCTGCCGCACCCCTCTCTTGACATCAACGATCACTTCTTTGTAGAATGGTGAGATCCTGGTAGTGAATCCGCAATACAGCTCACGGAGGATCCTGATGTATTGGGCTTGAATGCCCTGATTGGCTAGGGCTTCAATGACCGCTTCCGTCTCAACAGAATCAAAGGCCTTCTTTAAATCAATGAACGTTAAGCAGAGCGGCATCTTGAACTCCCGAGAAACCTCAATGAGTTTGGTTATCGTGTGGATATGGTCGATGGTGCTGAATCCTTTGCGGAACCCTGCTTGCTCACATGGTTGTCCTTCATCTAGTGTTCTGCCAATCCTATTCAGGATGACTCGAGTGAACAACTTGTAGATGACAGACAATAGGCAGATCGGGCGATAGTTGCCAATGTCATGGATGTCTCCCTTCTTGAACAGTAGTACGGTCCTGCTGGTTTTCCATTGAGATGGAACCTTGCATTCAGACAGGTAGCGAGTGAAGAGCCGAGCCAGTGTATTGATGAGTACTGATGGCAGGTTCTTCAGGTGTTCAGGTCTGACCTTGTCTGGGCCGGGTGCTGTTTGCTTCTTTACTGACGAAATGGCGTGTCGGATTTCGGAAGGGAGAACGTTGGGAACGACATACCCATCCTGTGGAATTTGGTATGTCGGCAAGTGGACATGGCTATTGAAGAGATTTGAGTAGAAGTCATGGATAATCTTCTCCATTGCCGTTCTGGAGGATGTGATGGATCCATCAGGACGTCGGAGGGCAGTCATCTTGGTCTTATAGTTGGCGAAGGACAGGCGGGCGTTACGAATACTTTTCCCGGCTTCTGCCGCATCTACCAGTACTTCTGCTCTTCTCTCTTTGAGGTCTTCCTTGATCGCATCTCTGCACTGCTTTGCAAGCTCGGACGTTAGCTTGCGGTTGCCTGAGGCATGCGCCAAACCACGCTGGCGAATTAGCTCAAGAGTTTTCGAAGATAGGCGACTTTTTGTGGCTATCTCTCTCTTGGCGTTCCTCGCACATTCATGGAGGTGCTGAACCAGTCGATCGTATTCATGGAGGGTGGCTGAACCAGTGCCACCCTCGAGAACATCATGCGACGACTGGAATGGGAAGGAATGGGAGTGAAGATAGATGGTCGGCAACTACACCACCTCCGCTTTGCTGATGACATTGTTTTAATAACACCAAACATCAGCCAAGCGGCACAAATGCTGGCCGACTTTGACCGTGAGTGTGGAAAGGTAGGACTACAGCTGAATCTTACGAAGACAATGTTTATGAGAAACAGCCTTGTTCCTGACGCCCCATTCGCTCTTAATGGAACGACCATCTCCGAATGCAACAGCTATGTATACCTAGGTCGAGAGGTCAACATGACAAATGACCTGGCACCCGAGCTGCGCAGGAGGAAGAGAGCGGCTTGGAACGCCTTCAAGAACGTCGAAGAAATAGCTAAGAGGACGAAGAACCTCCGGCTCCGGGCACATCTCTTTGATTCCACTGTTCTTCCTGCATTAACATATGCCTCAGAGACCTGGGCCCTACGCAAACAAGATGAGAACGCCATTCAGGTCTCCCAAAGAAGAATAGAAAGAGCTATGCTTGGAATATCACGTTTCACTCAAATGAGAGAACGAATCCGGAGTTCTGACATCCGTCGACGATCAAGGATCAGGGACGCTGTCTCATATGCCAAGGTGTCGAAAATCAGATGGGCTGGTCACGTAATGAGATTTAAAGACGACCGTTGGACTAGAGCTGTTACTGATTGGATTCCACGGGATGTCAAGAGACCGCGTGGCCGCCCACCTACCAGATGGTCAGACTTCTTTGTCAAGGTCATGAACGATCGGTTTGAGGCCCTCCATGTTCCCGGAGCGAAGAGATGCCATTGGGCTACACTAGCACGCGACAGGGACAAATGGAGACGTTACTGGCGCCCGCTCGAGCAAATCGACGACTAACGGGAAGTTAAGTGATTAAGTGATCTGTTAATATTGACATAAAACAAAACCAAGGTATTACTTCACAATAAAATGATAAACAATGAGATAAAAGGTATATAATTATCATACTATTTAATATTTCAAATATTTATATTCTCAGAAAAATGGAAAAATGGATAGAAGTGCAAGGGAATTATAGTAGAATCTCAACTGGAAATGTTTTTAAAAAATAGGTTAAGTAACTCAAGCAGAGGCTTAAGAATTATTCAGCTGATATTTATCAAATAGCACCTACAGACCAGGTAGTTACCCAAGTAGAAATGGGACTGAAATTTTGTAAGAATTCGAGAAGGATAGATGTGAAATGTAGCTCTCTTCTTTAATTACTGAAAAACCCAAGCTAAAAATGTTTTCCTATGCCTCTTATTTAGAATAGTTGGAGCAATATTCTCCTCACAACTCTCAGAAGTTATTTTCAGAGATTTTGTAAGTCACCCAGCATCTCAAGGAAAGGCGGATGTAGCATAATAAAGGTTAGAATAATAAGGTAAAAGAAGCTTTAGATTTGAAAGGCTTTACAGACTGATGTAATGCTTTATTTGCTGAATCAGGTAAGAACTACTTTAAAATACATAACAAACAGTATTTTTATGAGAAAACCTATTTAATATATAAAGGCTTTTTAGGTTGTTTCTGTTCAGAAAAGTTTATAAAGTAAAATGGTCAATATAGAAATATTTCAAAACTTAAGCTGCCTCTGTGAACTTGATAAAACAAGATTTTTTAAAAAATATGTTATGTTTTAGTACCAGGAATTTTACCCATGGCTTGGAGGCCAACCACACATGCTAGGGGAAAAGGGAGCTCAGATAGAGAAGGGAACACCAAATAAAGGGTGTTGGGAGGATCCTCCCAGGGTGGGAGAAACATGCTGAAAGTAGACTATAGACCAAACATGACTGTCACCCATTGCCTCTTTTGCAAACCACAACACCCAATAAGAGAGAGAGAACAAAAGGAAATGCCCTGCCACAGAGGCAGGGTGGGATGGGGGAGATGGGGGTGGGATGGATACTGGGATCTGTGGTGGTGGGAAATGGGCACTGGTGGAGGGATGTGTATTTGATCACTGTATAATTGAAACCCAAGCACAAAAATTTGTAAGTCTACAACTGTACCTCATGATGTCTCACTAATAAAAATTAAAAAAAATATGTTACCAGCTATAGAAAACAAAGTATTTCACGATGCCTTTTAAGCAATTCTGATTGTTGGGGGGAAATTCTAAACAATAATGGTGCATCTTTTGTCAAAATAATGAATGTAATCAATGTAGAGAAGAGTTAAGTGGGAATCATCTGCCTCACAGGCATTGGGAGGGGTGGGAGAGGGGTATATTGGGGTTCTTGGTGGTGAAAAATGAGTACTGGTGAAGGGAGAGGTGTTTGATCATTGTGTGACCGAGACTTAAACCTGAAAGCTTAGTAACTTTTCCCACAGTGATTCAATAAATAAATATAAGAAGAAAAAAATATGTTATGTTAAAAACTGTATTAGCCAATATGGGCAAACTATAACAAGCCTATTTCAGTTTTACATGAAATTTATGTAAAATGACACAAATGTTACTCTTCGTAACATTAATAGTCATAAGAAGTAGGAACTGTGGGTGGGTATGGAGGAAATGGGTTAAAAGGCACCAACTTCCAGTTATAAGAACAGTAAATTATGGGTGCATATGATTTAGTGTCACAATTATAATTTAAAACGCTGGGATATATATTTAAGGCTTTGTTAGAAGATATATCTTCAAACTTTTTACCTGAGGATCTCATTTATCTGTGGTATATAGAAAAATAACATGAGAGAATGCATGTTATCAAAGAAAGGCTACCCAGATTACACTTGACCCCTGATCACAGAAATTATAGGAACATGTAAGAAAACAAATGGAGAAGAAGAGATGGATGGGAGGTAAGAGGGATAGTGGTCAGAGGCCTGAGCACACTGATGATGTAGAGGTGTGGTGTTTGTGTATATCTAAACTACAGAGTCAACAATACTGTGAACATGGAATTCAAACTTCAACAACCAAACTTAAAATCGTGCCTGTGAAGGAGGCAGTACGAGGGAGGGATGAAGGGAAACTGGCAACATTGGATGTGGGAGTGATGTTGGAACACTGCATGCCTGAAACTCAACTATGAATAACTGTGGATCAAGGGTTCCTTAATATTTAATTAAAAAAGTTCTCATTACAAGAACTAATTTTATAACTGTGTAATATGAATTAAACTTATCGTGGTAATTACTTAACACATAGGGCTGGAGCAATAGCGCAGTGGGTAGGGCATTTGCCTTGCAAGCATCCAACATGGCCAACCCGAGTTCGATTCCTCTGCCCCTCTCAGAGAGCCCGGCAAGCTACCGAGAGTATCTCGCCCGCACGGCAAAGCCTGGCAAGCTACCTGTGACATATTTGATATGCCAAACACAGTAACAATTGTCACAATGGAGATGTTACTGGGCCTGCTTGAGCAAATTGATGAACAACGAGAGGACAGTGACAGTGATTTAACATATACACATACCAAGTCATTATGCTGTATATCTTAAACTAAAATGTAAATTGATCTCAATAAAATCAGGAAAATAAAATAGTAAGACTTTAAATATTTCAATGTGTCCAAAGTTAAAGTAATACTATCATTTATAGGTGATTTTGGGAATTTTTATTATTATTTATAATTATTAATCAATATAATTATTATGTAGTAGAATTACTCAAAAATAAACTTCATGTTCCTGAACCTGTTAAGATTCAAGATTATATTAAACAAATTTTAGTATAATTTAAATTTTATTTAAAATGTTAATGCCTTGAAATTTTATAAGTGTTTTAGCCACCACCCTCAACTAAAAGAAAGAATGTAGTGAGTGACCGCTGTTAGTACTCTGCCATAACTCACTTCATCAGGCACTCAATCTCTTTCACAGGAGAAAGTGATCTGTCCTTGCTACAGAAAAGATCCTAATTTGTCTAATTAGTTATTAGACAGTATTTCCCAATATAACTACTATCAATGCAGTGATAAGCCTAGTTAGTCTTTATCCAGAAAGGAAAATGTTATCTATTCTAGGATAGTGTTTTTCACCCTGTGTATTGCTGTGAACCAACATCTTTTAAAAAATTAGTGTTTAAAAACGACTATTCTCAGAGTGTAAGAGATTCTTCCATAGTTTTGGAGGTATATAGCTTTACTAATCATCAGTAACTACGGCTCCCATGAAGAAAAACAGTTTTATAGTAATGTCAACACCAAAAAACATGGACTAGAAATACAGCAGGTAGGGCGTTTGCCTAGCATACGGCCGACCCGGCCGACCCAGGTTCAATTCCTCTGCCCCTCTTGTAGAGCCCAGCAAGCTACCGAGAGTATTTCGCCCGCACGGCAAAGCCTGGCAAGCTACCCAGAACGTATTTGATATGATAAACACAGTAACAAGTCTCACAATGGAGACATGACTAGGTCCGCTTGAGCAAATCGATGAACAGGAGGACAGCGCAGTGCTACTTCTACAAATATCAGAAGTACCTTATATGCTCTGCAGGAGCGATAGCACAGCGGTAGGGCGTTTGCCTTGCACGCAGCCAACATGGCCGACCCGAGTTCGATTCCTGCGCCCCTCTCGGAGAGCCCGACAAGCTACCGAGAGTATCTCGCCCGCACGGCAGAGCCTGGCAAGTTCCCCGTGACATATTCGGTATGCCAAACACAGTAACAACAAAGTCTCCAATGGAGACGTTACTGGGCCCGCTCGAGCAAATCGACGAACAACGGGAGGGCCTTTACCTTTACCTTATCAAGCCAGTTTAAGTAGCCTGAAGCGTCCAACATATGATAATACTAAACATTATAAAATAATGCTGAACATAAGGCTAAACACTATAAAACATGTATTTTCAGTCATTCAGTCAGACTTCTCTAATTGAATAACACGTCTAGCAATACCTTAGAGTCTGTTGTGTTTGCCAGATTCTTTGGTCTCATCTTGCTCTCCCGGGCTTCAAGCTGCATTAGCAATTTTTTATAGAAAAGTTCCAAATCTTCTCGAAGTTTTGTTAGGATCTCTTCCAATGATGCCGTCACTTTCTTTGTTTCAAAGTACTTTTTTTTCCAATCATCAGAGGCTACCGGTCCCCCCAAAAGTAAATGCTATAGTTTGAATCTGATAAAAGGACTTAATTTTGTTTTTAAGATGAACAGGATTTTGAAGGGTCTGGAGCAATAGTACAGGCTCTTGCCTTGCAGGTGGCCTACCTGGATTTGATCCCTGGCACCTCCCCTATGGCCCCCCAAGCACCACCAGGAGGAATTCCTGAGTGCAGAGCCAGTTGAAGTCCTGAGCATCACTGGGTGTAACCCCAAAACCAAAAAAAGAAAAAAAGGATTCTGGAATTAAACATCTCTCTTCTTTCTTCCTTATATGCTGAAGAAATCAGAGATAAAAGAGAAATATTTTTTGGATAATAAAAGATCCCGCCAGAAAATAAAGTAAAACAGTGATTGTTCTAGGAAGCATGACCATGTAAAATAGCGATAGATACAGGAAGCATGATCATGTTCTCCTTTAAGCTTGGAATTAGTCATAAAAAATATTACTTTAAAAAATACTTCTGCTACCAGAAAGATAGTATAGGAGTTTTATCTTACTGACCCTCATTTGAATCCCAGGAATCATAAATGGTCTCCAGAGCAAAGAGCTGGAATTCGCCCCTGAGCACCACTGGGTATGACCCAAAATAACAAAACCTAACACCACCTGAGTCTATTTAATCCAAGTTTTTGAATTTTTGTTCAAAGCAGTTCCATATGGCCCTTCTAATTTTGGGGAGTTTATAAGTGGTATATTTAATTTCATTCTTAAATTAAATTTATATTAAGTAAATTTTATATACTGATAATATCTCATTTCTCTTTTTCCCTTTTGTAGTCCTGTTAGAGATGTGTTAATTTCACTGAAATTTCGAAAAAATATTGTTGTTTCATTTTTTATTTCCAATTTTGTTGATTTCTGCTCTTTTCTATTTAATTTTTCTCTTAAGTATGGTTCATTGTTTCTTTTCTTTTTTTTTTTTTTAGCAAACCCTTAAATAATTTGAAAACATTCCTTTTAAAATAAAATAGAAGAATTTAACACTTTGATACTGCTCTAAAAAGTTAAAAATACTTTTTTTTTTGGGGGGGTCACACCTGGCTATGCTCAGGGGTTACTCCTGGCTCTGCACTCAGGAATTACTTCGGGCAGTATTTGGGGAACCATATGAGATGTTGGGGATTGAACTCGGGTTGGCCGAGTGCAAGGCAAATGCCCTACCTGCTGTACTATTGCTCCAGTCCCAAAAGTTTAAAATACTTCTAGTGCTGGCATTGGAAAGATAATAGAGTCGGTAGGGTGCTTGACTTTCATGTGGCCGTCCCTGGTTTGATATCCATTATCCCTGAGCACAGAGCCAGGAGTAAGCTGCTGAGTGCAGTCCCAAAACAAATACAAAATTCTAATTCTTCTTGGGAAACTTTTGTTCTCCGTGCCCTTGGAATAGAATTATATTGTTTAATCTTTATTTTTTTTCTGTAATTTGTTTACAGTTTAATTCTACTATGGTCAGATGCTACTTTTTCTAAATAAAATTATCTAAAAATTTAAAAAGGAAACTTGAAAATAAAATCAAATGACTGGAATAAGTTGTTTTATTTACATGATTATTTTTTAGATTATACATAGTTCATAATAGCGTTATGCTTTTGGTGCTCAACCATCACCATCAAACTGCTCCAAATCCTCCACCACTGTTCCTAAGTTTCTTTTATATCACATCATCACTACCCTAACCCCTTGACTATTGCTACAGTTCAAAGGTTTGTTTTCATTTAACCTATCCACTTCTTTTGTTTCTCTTTATATTACATGAGTGAGATCACCCAGGATTTGTCCTCTCCCTGTCTTATTTTCTTTTACATGATGCCTCTAGTTTCAAGTTGTAACTAAAGGGAGATGTCCTCTTTTTAACAGCAGGTATTCCACTAGGTGCATGCAGTGAACATAGGTGAGTATATAACTTTTTAAATTGATGCTTTTTTTGTTCTTGGGAGAGATGGAGAGATTCCAAAGGTGGACTAGTTGGATCACATGGAAAGTTTTTTTTTTTTAAACAAAATCTCCATATGTTTTCCATAGAGGTCTAGTCTGCAATCGTCCCTACAATACTTAATGATGTTCCTTTTTCATATATCTATCAGTAAAGGCTGTTACTGGATTTATTTATACAGGCCATTATAACTGGTATAAGAAGACATATTATCATTTGAATTTGTATTTCCTTGATAGTGATGATGAATTCATTTTTCATATGCCTACCAACCATCTCTATGTCTTCTTTTAGAAATTATGTCAGCAATTCTACCCACTTTTTGATGATTTGGTTTTTTTGCTGCTGAGTTTTGTGAGTAATTTACATCTTGGATTATTAGCACTTTGGCAAACGTTTTTGCTCATTCAGTTGGGTATCTATTTTGACTACTGTTTCTTTGAGGTGGAAACATTTTAGTTTGATTAAGTCCCATTTGTTTATTTTTTGCTTTTGTTTTCTTTGCAAACAGAGTTGAATATCTAAAGTCAGGACCTTGATTTTTAAAATACACTTTTTATGTGGTTGGGGAGATGGCTCAAAGGGGAAGAACACATGCCTTGTACACAAGCCTGCACAGTATAGCCAAGTATCACCCTAGGTGCACTGAGCACTTTTTTGGTAGATCCTCCTCTCCCCAAAGAAACAGAACCAAAAGCAAATAAAATACACTGTGTGGTATTTCTCTTAAAACCATTTCTTTTCATCATTAAATGTAGCAATTATACCAAGTAAATGGTATATCACTTAATGATTATAAAGTAGCAAATATTCCTTAATTTTATTATATATTCAAAAATTATGCAAATAAATTCTTTAAAATTTTAGGTTTTTTTATAGTGATAATATATAATAAACCTTACCAAGAAGTTGTTTCACTTTGCTTTCTTCAAATAATTTTTCAATTTTCTTTATTAGTTCTTCTTTAATTCTTTCCAATTGTAGTCTTTCTTCCTTTAATTGTTTAATTTGTTCAATAATATTCTCTCCTAAGACAATTATAACCCACACTCATCAAAGGCTGACTGCTAAAATGGTTTATTTACTTAAATACAAAGTGCAAATTTAAAATGCCTAAAATGGCAAGAATAAGCTTTACCTAAAATTCTGCTTTCTTTGTCACAATATAACATTTGACACTATGGAATATGAGAGCTTATTTTATTTAATATAAAATTTTATTCAATATAAATTTTATTTAATATAAAATTTTATTCAAAAGTGGATATGTAAAGTAATTTAAATATATGTAAAGAAGATAGTATCTCTTTTCTATATTTACACATATGTACAGAAATTAAAATTCAAACACTTAAACTTCGTGGTTTAGTCTTTTTTGTAAACTTGTCCTGAGAATTGCCATACTTAAATCTTACACGAAATGTACATTTTAAGGTTTTTGGTTTTTTTTGTGCGCATGTGTGTGTGTATTGCGGGGGGGAGTACTTCCCACACACAGCAGTACTCAGGGAACACTTCTGGTGTGGTTGTATGGGAAAGTGAGGTGCTAAGGATAAAATCTAAGCCTCTGGTATACGGAGTATGTTCTCTAGACCTCTAAATTTTCTCCCTGGCTTGAAAAGAAACATTTTAAGGTATGGTTAATATCAGATGATATTAGTGATTAAATATATATATTCTAACTTGTATAAGAAGACATATATGTATATATACACTAATCACACAAAATATGTGCACTTAAATATTTACTTTTGTGACTGAAAAAATAGTACAGCAGGTAGGACACTTCCTTTTTATGCATTTAATTCTGGTTTCTATCTGTGGCAAGCCTGAGCTCTACCAGGAGTGATTCTTGAGTGCAGAGTCAGGAATAAACCTGAGTACATCAGGTATAGCCCCAAAACAAAAATAAAATAAATAATTCACTTTTGTGGTAAAATATATATAAGGTCTATCATTTTAACCACTTATATGTCATGTATAATTCAATGGCATTACATGCATTAATAATGTTGAATATTACTACCATCCATTTCCAGAACTTTTAAAATCTTTTTTAAAATCAAAATTGAAACCCTCTACCCATTAAATAATCACTATCTATTAACATTATTTAACTCACAGACTCATCTGTACTTACTTGAACTCTGTGACAAGGAGGTATCTCCTGGAATAGAAATATGTATAGAACGAAGTGAAGGAAAATCAATAACATCTGGTAGGACAACGTACTCTTGTTTACTTATCTGTAAAACATGAAAATCAATAAAATTTAGTAAGGCGATACAATAAAATTCATCTATCTGAAGGCATGTGGTAGTGTACAACAGTTGTACATTAAAAAAATTATATGGTGATCAATTCTTAAGTCTCTCTCTCTCTCTCTCTCTATATATATATATATATATATACACACATACATACATACTTTTTTTTTTTTTTGCTTTTTTGGGTCACACTCGGCATTGCACAGGCTCATGCACTCAGGAATTACTCCTGGTGGTGCTTGAGGGACCATATGGGATGCTGAGAATCGAATCCAGGTAGGTCAAGTGCAAGGCAAAGGCCCTATCCTCTGTGCTATGGCTCCAGCCCCCTAAGTCTACATTTTTAACTATAACTCTTGTTTCATAGTCTTACTATTACTTGGGCTTTGTTATAGGAACTTCAAACTGAAAATAAAATAATTCATTACTCTTTTTTAAATACAATTTCCTCTTTAAAAACATTCTTAGATTTTGTTTTTGGTTTTGGGGCCACACCCAGTGGTTCTCAGGGCTTACTCCTAACTCTGCACTCAGGGAACACTCTGGGTGACCTCAAAGACCATACAAGGTGTGGGGAATCAAACCCAGGTTGGATGGATGCAAGGCAAATGCTTTAGTCACTGCACTATCTCTCAGATCCTGTCTTAAGATTTTAGATCTTAGTTACTAAGTATAACATTTAAAACTTTTTGAACAATATTGATGTTTTATATTTGCTTAGAAAATGGAAATTTTCCATATTCTCAAAATATATATTTCATTCTCATAAACTTTATCTCTTTATCTCTTCTGTATTTGCATCTATATCAACTTCATCTCTCTTCATATTCTTTTTTTATAAATAATCTTGATATTTTATATTAATACTTTGTATACCTGAAATTGTTTTTGTTAGTTTTCACTTCTGTAATGTTATTCTTACTACTGTAACATATTACTTTACATCTATTGCCAAGTCCTTAATCTTAACTTTATTACTATTTTTATAGTTTACCTTACTTTTCTAACTTATATGGTCAGATTTCAACAGATAATGGCAACCTCCTCGATTAGAGTCTCTTCACATGTCCTCCCAACTATTATAAAATAAATAGCCACCAATTATTTATGTCTACAGAATATCTAGAATATAGGATCCTTAAATTTATACATACTTTCATTTAAAGTGGAGGAAATGAACACTTAGAATAGCAGAGTGTGTTCAGTAGCACAAAAATCAGGTGTTACTATGATGTAGAGAGCACAAGAAGTAGATAAAATACGGACAATATCAGCTACTATTTATTATATGAGAGGGCCTTGCTCTGAAAAAATTCTAAGACTACAGGTCCAAGATCTGGTAAATCAGAGCACTTCCTATGAGGGATCTAAAAGAAAGGGTTTGTAAAATGTAGGAGTAAGAAGGTGTAATTGGGAATTTATGGGAGTTTATGGAAGAAGAAAATGTGGAAAGTGAGAGGTGTTTATTCAGCATTTGAAAGAAAAAAAGTGGCCAATATACTTAATAACTGTTGAATTTCTAGTAGATAAGAATCCAAAGAAAATAAAACAAATCCAAAGCTATTCCCCCAAGGGCCCCAATTTATTAATATAAGTGTCCAGAAATATGGTTCAAGGGTAGAGCACATGCTCAGCATGAACAGGGCTATAGTTGATCCCTGGCATCACATGACCATTTCTCCTAAGCACTACTCAGAGTAGCCCTGCTGGACCCAAGCACCTTTGATGCAAGCACTACTGGGTAAGAGTGAGCCTAACATGTCCATTTCTCCTCTCCAAGCACTACTCAGAGTGGTCCTGCTGGACCCCAAGCATCTTTGAGGCAAGTACTACTGGGTCTAGGTGAGCCTAATAAAATTATATGTAATAACATGCATATGCACAATATAGAAATATAATTATACAAAAAATTTATAATAGATATGTCTGCATTTCACCATAGTAGCAGGAGAGGGTGCTCCTCATCTAAGAAATAGATGAGACACCAAAACACCAGTCTTCCTCTGCAAGATTGCCTATTAATGCTGAAGAGAAAAATCCAACACAAATACACATGGACCACATCTATAATATTATACACTAGCATGCACACAAAGTTACTTGAAATAAAACCCTCAACGTTGAGAACTAAAAACAAAATAAAACAAAGAGACAATCATAAAGTAGTGGATAGCTTAACAATATTCCCAACATAGATCAGATATAAATAATCAACATTTGCTGTTGAAAATTTCAAAGCCTCAGAATAAATTCTACAAATAAGAATTTAAAAATTTCAGAATAAAGATGGAATGACTGGCATTGCAGAGATGGTTCAAGGGGCTAGAATGAATGTTTTGCATGCAGAGCCCTAGATTCAATCTGTCACTCTATGGTTCCCCAGCACTGCTGGGTATTTCCCAAGAACCAAAAGGAAAAACAAAATGAAGATGTGAAATGGAAGTTGGTCAAATGAAGAAATTATTATTGAAATACAATTATCAAAAAATTAACAATGTATCAGTTATTCAAGAAGGAACAGAGATTTAAAAAATAGAAAACTAAGAAACAAAAAATAAAATAATTAAGTAGATAATTGACAAATTATAAAAGGTAAAGAAGATATAAGGTAAGAGTAATCATGCTATCTGAAAAACAAAACAAAGAAAAACATAAGCTATTAATTTACATAGAAAATTATAATTTTAGAAGGTATTTTTAAAGTAAGAATAGTCTTGATTTTCATAGTGAAAGGGTCCGTGTGGATTTAGAAAAACCTAGCCTACAATACTGACAAAGATAGCCTGATAAAATGACTACACATTAAAAAAATCCTTTGGCCCATCCAGCCAAAGTATCCAAATCAGTTTTTAACAGATCATATTGGCATTGCAATTTTAAATAATAATATGTAATCTAATCATTGTTTTAAATAAATATGAACCAAGAGCAACATTTAAGGAAACTCTGGGGAGAAAGATCTTAGGCAAGGATGTTATAACCAATTAAACTAACCTTTTAAGTATCTAGGTTTTCAAACCAGAAATAGAACATTTTTTTCTACAATGGGCCAGAAAGAAAGTCATTTAGGCTTTGTGGACCAATTATGATCTCTCTGATAATTCTTTTTGAGCACAGATGAAGTTAAATAGTTTTATTTAAAGAAATTCACTTACTAAAATAAGAGAAGGAAAACAGATAATTCAAGCACTAAAGGAATAATTTACAAAATATATAAGCATCAAAGAACTATCCCCCATATATATTAAAAAAAAACACTCCTGCTATTTAGAAAGCTATAAAAACCCAATTATAAATTGACTTATTAAGAATTTATAATTCTTAATAACTCATTTATAATAAGGGTGGGTCAATAAAATACAAAACCATAAACAATTATATCATTAATCACGGAAATTAAACTTAAACCATAGCAAAATTGTATTAAGCATATATCTGACAAGTTTTAAAAATAGAATTATTAAATTCAGCAACAAAAGAACAATTTCTTGCCAAAGACAGAGTGCTTCCATTTCAAAAACTAATGACTGAGATATAACAACTGTTATTATAAGTCCTAGTAGTTACTCTCCTATCAGGAGAATATTTCAATCAACAGATTTCAATATTCCAGTCAACTACACATCAATTATATTTGATCAGCTACATATTAAAACACATGTAGTAGTAGTACTGATCACAATTCTACTTTGATCACATATGAGTCTTCTATTTTGCATCCAACTCAAAAGTTGGTAGTCTTTTAGATGATTTGATTTTTTAAAAAAATGAATGAAGTAGCATATTAAAATCTCTCCCAATAACCAAGAAATCTATGAAGTGATTAAATCTCAATGGTAGCTGAGGCACAATACCAAAACCTGGTTTTAATGTTCAGTTTCACGTTCTGGATCATAAGGATCATGTTCTGGATGATGAAATTTCACTGAATCGACAGCATCCTAAAATTTCTTTTCTTTTCTATTTTTTAAATTGCAAGTTAGTGAGTTTTGAGTCATATTTGGTGGTTCTTAGAAATGACCTGGCCCTATGCTTAGGAATGACCACGGCTGTGCTTGGGGACTGAAATAGCCACATGAAAGGCAAGAACCTTAATCCATATACTGCCTCTTCATACTACCTCTTCAGCGCTTTTCTTTAATTTCTTTTCTTTCTCCTCTCTCCTCCTCTCCTCTCCTCTCCTCTCCTCTCCTCTCCTCTCCTCTCCTCTCCTCTCCTCTCCTCTTCTGTCCTCTCCTTCCTTCCCCTCCCTCCCCCTCCCTCCCTCCCTTCCTTCCTTTTGGGTCACACTCAGCAATACTCAGGGATTACTCCCAGCTCTGCAGTCAGGAATTACTCCTGGCAGTGCTCAGGGGTCCATATGGGATGCCAGGGATTGAACCCGGGTCGGCTGTGTGGAAAGCAAATGCCCTACCCGCTGTGCTATCACTCCGGCTCCTCCTTCAATTTCTTGAAGTATACCTCCCACATGATAAACTCTAAGATTAGAAAACTTAGACATTACTCATTAATCAGTAATTTCAAATTCAATATAATTATTTTCTTGCAATGCAAAACTTAATATTTCTTATCACACCTGGTTGTCTTCTTTTCTAATGACACAAAGTCTATCATCTTCATTTTTCCAAGAAGCACTTAAAAGAAAGGATTTACAAGTGATATTAAAATAAGAAGTCATGAATATTAGCTCTTCATATTTATATATATATCACTTACTATTCTGTCAACACAAAAAATTAACAATTATAAGTAATCCTGAGACTACTGTCATATTATCTTTTAGAATCATTGATTAGCATAAGCCGTATTTAGTATAGATAATAAATTAAATTTTCTTATAGTTAAAATCAAATCAAAGTCTAGTTATCTTCAGCAAGATGAAATAACTGATATTTTTATAAACATGTTTTGTTTATAGTTATTTTGTGAATAACTCCTTTTAGAATTCAGAAGACTTTTGTCTAAGTACTAATTATGAAAGACAGTATCCAAATGTGAAAGTCAAGCATATTGATGAGTTTACTTATAACAAAGGGAGGAGAGTGATGTGGTGACATGATGTAGTGACAGGCACGCACAGACTTCCACAGCCTCTGTCTCTTGAGTTTCAGGAAGGAGCCTTGGATGTAGGTTGTAGCCTGAGTGCCCGTCTCTCTCCAATTTGAAGTCACTTTGTTTGTTTGTTTTGCTGTATTTGAGTTTAGCCACACCTACCAGTGCTCAATGAGTTCTCCAAACTCAGTGCTCAAGGATCAATCCTGCCAGATCTCAGGGATCCTAGCAAATCCTGTGGATTCAAGACTGACTTCAGTTTCTTTTTGTTTTGTGAGGTGATGGGAGGATCACAACTAGTGATTGTCCGGGGTTACTCCTGGCTCTGGGCTGGAGCCATAATACAGCGGGTAGGGCATTTGCCTTGCACGCGGGAGACCCGGGTTTGATTCCTCTATCTCTCTCGGAGAGCCCGGCAAGGTACCGAGAATATCCCGCCAACATGGCAGAGCCTGGCAAGCTCCCCGTGGCATATTTGATATGCCTAAAACAGTAAAAAGAAGTCTCATAATGGAGACATTACTGGTGCCTGCTCAAGCAAATCAATGAACAACAAGAAGACAGTGATACAGTGCTACTTATAACAAGAACTGGAGGCAGAAAAATAAGTTCTGAGAAAAGCAAAGACAGAAAATTTTCTGTTATGAGGTTTCCCTTGAAGGAAAAAAGAATTACAGCAGAGTAAAGTACAGCAATAAACTAAGCCTCATTTATGCTGAAGAAGATAGACCAAACAGAGATAACTCAAAGAGCTAGTGCACAAACTCTTCATGTAGGGCAGGCCTGGGTTTGATCTCCAGCACCAGCTGCCCCCTGCAACATTACTTAAAATGCACTTCTCAGAGCTGGGAGAAGCCCACAAGCTCTGCTGGATGTGTCCCCAAATGAAAAAACCACTAGCTGTTATACTGAAAAGACTACTGGTATAGATCAGAAAAATATAGTTTTAATGAATCAGTCACTAGCTTCACTCTTGTCTTTGTCTAATGAGGTATCCTTACAATTATTTATATCTCACTCTTGATGACAGTTTATGACAGTTTATGAAAAGAGTATCTAATTACCTGTTTTCACTGTTATTATTTTCATTTTTTGAATCTTCCAGAGATCTGAGCAATTCAGAATTTTCACTTTGATTTTCTCCAGCCTTGTTTTCTTTTGAATTATCTTTCTCCTCAGCTGATTCTGCTGGACATTCATGTACATGCAAAAAAAGTTCATGGCATTAAAAAAATACTAAAAATAATACTTTATTACATACTATAACTTTGTCTTCTGTTCACGATCTCTATAAATTTTTACTATATGTACCATAAACCAACAATTCACAAAGTGAATTTTATGAAACATAAAGGTTACAAGAAAGAAGAATTCTTGTTACAATTCAGTTTGGGAAAAACTGGTTTAAATCACACTAACAGGAATATAACACACAAACACAAAGGATGTCTCTGTTTTTATGTATCATGTGAATTTACCAGACAGGAATAAATTGGGCTTTACTCAAACTTATGGACTCCAGAAAGTTTTTGCCAAAAGCATCTTTTGAAATAATATTTTGAGAAACCTTCTAGGAAAAATAAATATGGAACAATTACTATCATTTGCTATTTTCTATTTCTATTCACAAATATCCCTTCATTATCTCAGGGGACACACACAGTGGTGCTTGGGAGTACTTTCGGCTCTGTGCTCAGGGATCGCTCCTGGAAATTCCTGACAGACCAAGGATTGTACCCACATCTCCCACATCAAAATCATGAGCTCAACCCACTGAACTATCTCTCCCGCTATTCCTTTATTTTGATAGAACTTTTAAAATTACACTGTCTTTAAAATTACAATTTAAAATTACAATCTGTCTTTAAAACATTAACACTAAGACACTAATCTTCTACGGGTGATATACAAGCAAAAGATTCTCAAACTTGATGATGTTAATGCATTGGTTTTTCTCTCCTTTCTCCCATTGGAGAAATTTTTTATTTAGATGAAAACAAACTACTATTTAAAAAGCCATGTCACAAAGCTTGTGACAATGTTTTACAAACTGAAGTCCATATTAGTTTAGTTTTAGACAGGTTATTACCTCTGAAACTATGCCATAGTTGGCACTGTATCATACTCTCACATGAAAGTCAGAGAACAATGCAAAAAATCAAAGTAGTAATTATCTCTATTAGGAACCACAGAGGATATGACTAGAGAAGAGAGACGCAGTTTAGAAAATTCTGATAACAAAAAAGCACAATCTCGAGGGCTGGAGCAATAGCACAGTGGGTAGGGCGTTTGCCTTGCACGCAGCCGACCTGAGTTCAGACGACCTGAGTTCGATTCCCAGCATCCCATATGGTCCCCTGAGCACCGCCAGGAGTAATTCCTGAATGCAGAGCCAAGAATAAACCCCTGTGCATTGCCGGGTGTGACCCAAAAAGAAAAAAAAAAAGCACAATCTCTGAAAGTTATTACATGTCTAAGAAAGGTAAAGGCTCTCCCGTTGTTCATCGATTTGCTCGAGCGGGCCCAGTAACGTCTCCATTGGAGACTTTGTTGTTTCTGTGTTTGGCATATCGAATACGTCACAGGGAGCTTGCCAGGCTCTGCCTTGCGGGCGAGATACTCTCGGTAGCTTGCCGGGCTCTCCGAGAGGGGCGGAGGAATCGAACTCGGGTCAGCCATGTTGGCTGCATGCAAGGCAAACACCCTACCACTGTGCTATGGCTCCAAAGGACAAATGTATAAAAGTAAATTGAGAAAAATGTTACAATTCTATTCATGATGACAAAAACATAATACAGGATTAAATTATACAAAGGAATTGTATAAGGATGTAGCTCTATATTCATTGATATCAAATGCCTGATATATTCTAAACTAAGAGATTTTACAGGTGAACTTCATTTCTTCATGTCTTTTTCACATTTTATGTGTCTTCATTTAAAAAAATAGCATTATGAATAAGAACTAAAATATAATAACTGGACTAGTATATACCAAAATTGTAATAAGTTATATCTGAATGGTGGAATTATTGACAATATTTTATTTCTCTGAAGGCAGAGAAGGGCCTTCTAAACAGTATTTAGAGAGCCTTGAGGAATTCTATCATGCTCATCCAGTCTCTGTGGTATGATAGTTCAATGCTTGGCCACACAACACAATGCTGGTTAGGCCAGCTCTCCTAGTGGTTCTCAGCAGGTCGAACTCAGAAACTAGTTCATGCAAAGCACTCACTCAAGTCCTTTATTTCCTTATGCTTATTTTCTTTTTCACACTTACTAATGTTTCTAGAACAATTTTTATAGGGGCTATTACTATCTGGGTATAGAGAAGGGTGGAGCTTACGCCTAGCAACTCTCAGCACCTGGGTGCAGGTCAGTTTGGTCTTCTGACCCAGAGAAGTTCTGGTCCAGCAGTACTTGAGGATATCTAAGCTAAAACCAGCAGTGCTGAGAGTGAGCCAGCCATAAGGTGCCCAGGATCAAACTCAGGGCTCCCCCATCCCAGCCATGTGTTCTACTATGTGGGCTATCTCCCCAGTCACTAGAACTTTAAAAAATAAGCAGAGTGGTCTTCTGTTTATAGCATTATGTTTTGAGTACCTACCCATAAATTAATACCACATAAAACCTGTACTGGCACAGAATAATCAGATTAAATATAACAAACATTTTAGGGGGGTTGTACAAGTAGCATAGTTCAGCAATTTGGCCAAGATACTAGGATATGAAATATATTACTCCATAGATTTATGAATTGGAATTTTGATTTTTTTTAGGAATATTGGTATTCCACTCTGAATTTTTGCTTGCTGTATTATTTTTCGTTTAGCCTTTAAATGATACCATGATTGGAAAGTAATATTGGAAAGTAACACTGCAGAAATGCCTAGATAAAAGAAGTAAAGACTGTCATTGTGCATCTCACTGGCATTAAGTAAAGGTAAAGGTAAAGGCCCTCCCGTTGATCGTCGATTTGCTCGAGCGGGCCCAGTATTAAGTAATCAAACAGATGATCTTATCCGCATGTCTCATTAGAAATACTAAATCACATCAGAACAGTGAATTATTAAATGTGCTCAAAATTAAAGAAATATCACTGGGCATAGTGTGAACTTTAGATAAAAGATCTGCTATAATTAAAGTCAGAAAATGCAAGTGTTTAAGAACTATTTTAGTACCTTATTTTGCACTAGTATTAGGTATTGTCATTAGAGGAACTCATTCATTTATAAATATTTAACATTTTTGCTCTTCCATTTCAAATACACATTTGTTGTATATATGAGGTAAAAGAATTCAACTATTTTTTGTATTGATTTGCAGAATGCAGTATCATATTTACGTATATATTTATTATTTTAACTACCATTTGTTCCAAATCAAATCATCAGTAAATTGACAGCTACAACCAAATAAAATATTAACTCACTGAAATACAAACGTCTTACAACATAAAAGTTTTTCTTAGTGCATGGACCAGAGAGATAGCTCAACAGGTTGAAACATATGTTTTGCATGCAGGAAGTCATAGCTCAATCCTTGGCACTGTGTGGTTCCCTTAGCATCATCAGGAGTGACCCCCACATCCAGCATGGAACAGCCCCTAGGTCCCCTGAGGTACGACTAAAAATCCCACTTATGTTTTGTGTGTAAACACTAAATAAATAGAGTGGCAGCGGTGGCATGGTCTCTCTCTTCTGCCACCATGAGTGGCTTCCCCAACCCGGCCTGTAGCAGCCACCAGCAGACACGTGAAGGAGGAACAGGGCCACCAGACTGGTCAGTTGCCATTTATTCCATTCTCCCCACCGCCTGTTCCAGTCTCACTAAGCTCCCCATTCCAGTATCACGCTGCCCCTCATTCCTGTCTCCTGTCCCACGCTGCCCCTCATTCCTGTCTCCTCCTGTCCCCCATGGTGGTCTTTCTGTGATCCTTCTCATCGTCTCAGTCTAGTACTCAACCTTCAAGCATTGGGGGTAGCAACTACACTCAGGTGAGGTGCCACAACCAACATATGAAAGCCCTTCCTTCTGAGGGAATCTCTTCTAAAATAAGACAAAGATCTCTTGCAGCCAGGAGATCCATTCAAGAGCCACTACATAGGGGTGTGTTTCTCCTTTCCTTAGTTCAACAACCATTTAAACATTCATCTTAATTCTACTTCTTAATATCGTCATTTTGTAAGGACACAGTAAGAGACACATTAAGCATGTAGGGTGGCTCTCCTAGGGACATCTCACTCAGATGCCCAGGAGTGAATATTATTCGGAGACAATTAACTCCCAAGTTACAAAAGCATACCATTAACTGTCTTCCTGTGTCTATACAAAAAGGACATTGCTCTGAAGTAAACTATACAAAGAACATAAGGGAAGAAGAAAAGCATTATTTCACTTACAAATACAAAATCAGAGATTTCTGAGAAATTTGACTTTACAAGTCACAGGTATTGCTTAGGGGAAAATGGTGATTAACTGGTTGGGGAAGCAGAACACAGAGAAGAAGTTAAAGATAAACACAGAGGAATGGGAGTGCCTTGGGAGCACTGTGATGGGTGTAACGCAATAAACCTAAGCTCCCTGCAGCCAGGGAGAAAGGACAAACCAATGTTATCCTACAGTTTTGGTCTGGCATTATTTTCCTGAATAAGATATTTCTGGACACATGATAATGAATACCAATGTTAGTGCAATAATCTCCTTTAGACATAATTTTATCCGAAACTATTATAAAGGAAGTAAAAAATAGTACAGTTCATAAAGTGTTGTATTTTGATTTAGTTTTATCTTAGAATAATACTTAATTATTTTTCTCCCATTAGGCAAGAACATTATTTTAAGCACCAAATTGAACTGAACTGTAGTTTTCCTCTTTACTGCCCATAATTGTAAAATGAGATTTTCCCAGAATTTGCTAACAGATCTGACTACTAAAATGTACTATAATAAACTCCGTCTTCCCCACTGCAGTTGAAGTCACCTTCTTCCCAATTCTTGTCAAGAAGTTCTTTCACAATACTTTCTAAAAGACTGGACTCTGTTCCAGGTTCTTCATTTGGCAAAACTATATTAAATGGCTCCTGGATTATTCCATCATCTTCAGCAACATTATTATTGATCTGCTGGTCATCTAAAGAAACTGTTGTTGAAGCTGAAAAAACATTTCCTAAATGATCCACTATAGGAAGCAAATATAATTCTGGTTGAAGAGCCTAAAACACATAGGAAATTATTTTGTAATATGAAATACAGTAACTTGAAAAATCAACATAAACTTAAAATCATTACATACATGTGGAGGAGCAAATGATTTAAGTTTCAGTTCAGATTCCTGCTTTGCCTTTACCTAGAAATAAATGAGAAAAGCATGAAAACTTTCACATTTTAAAACTGCTTTTACCCTATTTTCCTGAAGAAGGTATACGTAATTTGACGTGATAATTAATTCTAAAAGCTGATAGCTAAGTCTAGATTCTAAAAAACATAAAATGTAATTCTATTTCCGTTAATTGTATTAAACATAAATACTACCACATACTTTAATAACAATTATTGTTTTTGCTAGCATGGATTCACTATGTAAAGAACTTGTCCTAAAATATATGGATTATATTAATCCTCACAATCCCATGTGAAAAGCACAAAAATATTAGTTCAAAAATAGTAAGATTGAGGAGACTAGAAGTTAAATGATGGGTCTAAGATTTTAAAACTGGAGGTTTCCAAAGTGGTATTCAAAATCAGGTAATCTGACTGAAGTATCCAATCTTATAATCATCTGAGATTGATATTTTATAATTTTACATATAATACAAAAGAACAAAATGCTGAGATTTGTTATTTTTCCTCCAATTACAAATAACTAACTTGAAGATCTGCAAATATTAGTATTGTGCCAAACTAGAGATCGATAAAAAATAGTTCAAATTTACTAGTTGTTCCTAAAAAAATCTCACAAAACACTCTCAGTACTAAAGAGCATTATTTAGTACTGGGGTGGAACAGCATTATTTAGTACTAGGGAGATACTTAGTGTAAAATAAGTGGTATTTAAAAAAAAATAAACATTTCACTCCAAAATAGTACTATTGAGGTTATAGTAACTACTACCTTCGGATGAACTGCTTTGTTTTCCACTAACATTATTTAACTTTTCACTAAGTATCTACATGATGCTAAGCACCTAGTCAGATGCTAGTTATAACAAAGTTCTTACACACAGAGGCTATAGCCTAATGGCAGATCTTAAAAAAAAATTAGTACATAATTAGTATATTTATAACAATATACTAATTATTAGTGCAACATTAATTAGTACATAATAATGACACAGTATCTTAACTAGAGTGTAGTAGAAAGTACTACCTGTTAAAGAATTTAAAAATGAAAACTCTTGGGGCTGGTGATATAGTATTGGGGTTAAGGTGCTTGCCTTGAATATGTCTGGCCTAAGTTAGATCCCTGAGCACTACCCGGAGTGATCCCTGAGCAGAGAAGCCAGCCACAGCTTCTAGCTATGGCTCAAATTCTCCCATAAATTAAAAAAAAAAAAGAATTTTTTTTCTTTTTGTGTCACACCCAACGGTGCTCATGGTTGCTCCAGGCTCTGCTCTCAGAAATTACTCCTGTGCTCAGGGGGACTATATGGGATGTTAGGGATCAAATCTGGGTCAGCCACATGCAAGGCAAATGTCCTATTCATTGTACTATCACTCAGGCACTCTCAAAATAAAAAATTTTGATTAAAGAAATAAACTTATAGCACAGCGGTAGGGCGTTCACCTTGTGCGCATCCAGCCTGGCCGAGCCAGGTTCGATTCCTCTGCCCCTCTCGGAGAGCCTGGCAAGTTATCGAGAGTATTCAATATGCCAAACAAAGTAACAAGAAGTCTCACAATGGAGATGTTACTGGGCCTGCTTGAGCAAATTGATGAACAACGGGAAGACAGTTAAAATGAAATATCTGAAACCTTGGGCCCAAAGAACTAGTGCTCTGGTTACAGCACCTGCTTTTAAATGTATATTCGTGAGTTCAAATCACTGATGAACACTGCAGTAATTCACGGCAAGTTCAAAACTATAAATTATGTGCTTCAACTAAGAGTACAAGTCCCAGAGAACACATGTGCACATACTACAACTGAATGAGTGCAAATCTTGGTGAGTGCCTCACCAAGTGTGTAAACGTGGGACCTTATCTATGACCTGCAATGAACAACTTTTTTTTTTCCTTTTTTTTGCTTTTTTGGGTCACACCCGACGATCGATGCACAGGAGTTATTCCTGGTTCATGCACTCAGGAATCACTCCTGGCGATGCTCGGGAGACCATATGGGATGCTGGGAATCGAACCTGGGTTGGCTGCATGCAAGGCAAATGCCCTACCCGCTGCTCCAGCCCCATGCAGTGGACAACTTTAAAATGGAAAAAGCACCACTGCCAGGCATGTGTAATCCACTGTTCATTGCATTACCATTACCGACAACAAAAGGGTGGGAAAAAGAGAACAAAAATAATTTAAAAAATAACACCACTTCCTATCTCTCAGCCTCTAAAATCTTAATATCTGAAGGCTTGTTAAATTAAGAATTCCAGCTAGGAAATCACCATTAGGTTATAGAAACTACAAATAGAAGTATTCAATAAATATCAAAAAGATAACAGCATCAAAAAATTTCAGACCAAAAAAGACTTGTTGCACTTGATACAAAGGAATCTATTTCCCCCATAACACAAACGCATATTAGAAAAACATTAAAAGATCATCCCTTAAATTACATACATATTTGAAATTACATAAAATAAATATATACATATGATGGTCCTCATTCCCAATCCTGAGAGAACCCCCAATATACTATCGGGCTACACTAACACATGACAAGAACAAATGGAGACTGGTGCCTGCTCGAGCAAATCGATGAACAACAGGATGATAGTGATAGTGATATGCATACTTGAAATTTCTATATTTTTTCTAAGGAAATATACATGCAAAACAATCCCACCCCAAAATATGCCAAATATGATCTATTCTTGATCTATTTATTGATAATATTTTCACTATGATTGAATCTGAGTAATAAGTATTTATAAATCACAATTTGTTAAGGTATGCTTTTGTTTAATCAAAAGGGAAAAATAAGAAACTTACCACAGCCAGATTATTTCCAATGCATTTCAGAAATAAAAATTTTTCTGCAATAGCATCTTCACCAAGAAACTCAACAAGTCTTTCCCTCAGGGCTTGTAGAGTAAGGTCAGGAGATATTCTGAAATATCATGACATTATGTTATAAGGTAAAACAAAATCAGTTTCGATGATACTCAAGATAGAATAACTTTAGCCAATTATATCAAGCGTAATACTAATTTAAAGTATTTATAACCTCAGTAATGTTATGTTTCTATAGTTCTGGGTACTTTCTATGACTTCAGTAACTTTTAAATAAATTTCTATGATGTCAGTATCTTTTAAATAAATTTAAAGTCTACCTTTTCAAATTACACACGAACATAGAAAGTCCTTTTTGTTTCTGTTTAGGAGACAAACTCAGTGGTTCTCAGGGCAACTCTTAGGTCAGTGCTCAGGGGTCACTTTAGGCAGTGCTCGTGACTGCACAATGTTAGGGCTCAAACCAGAGCTCACTGAATGCAGAGAATGCATTTGGACTTTTGAACTCTCTAGCCATGAAAGTCCTTTTTTGTACTGAACAGGAAAATGCTTCTCCACTTTTCTCATCTACCTCCAAACATAATTGTAAAAAGAACGCTTTCTATGAAAGTTTCATAACTACTTTTATACACATATTAAAAGAATGGCTTCACCATAGATATTTATTTTAGAAGTTGAAAGACAATGTTTAAATTTCTTTGCTGATAAAATATCAGATTCCACATCTTTGATCATAAGGCATACTTCATTCTTCAATGTCTAAAATTTAAACTTGTCACTTTTGGGCTTCTTCCGAGTTCTGTTTTATAAGGATCTTGTGGAAGACATAAAAATTCAATTAATCAAAAATTTTTTAAGCATTTGATTCAAATTATCAGGCAAATTCTAAGAGATGGAAATATGGCAGTTAACAAAACTGAGATAAACATCTGCTCTTACTGACCTTACAAGGAGTGGTGGGGGAGAAAAAAAGAACAAACAAAATAGGAAATATATCACTAATGATATACTTTTAAGTATTTTAGAAAAAATTGAGTAGGGAAGGGAACAAGTTACAATAGCTGTATTTTAAAATACAGTGATCAGGGCCCGCTGGAGCAAATCGATGAACAACGGGAGGACTGTGACTGGACCGTGACCGATCAGGGCTGGAGTGATAGCACAGCGGGTAGGGCGTTTGCTTGGCAAACCGACCTGGGTTCGATCCCCAGCATCCCATATGGTCCCTCAAGCACCGCCAGGAGTAATTCCTGAGTGCAGAGCCAGGAATAACCCCTGAGCATTGCTGAGTGTGACCCAAAAAAGAAAAAAAAATACAGTGATCAGAAATGATCTCAACAAAAAAGTAGTAGCTGAGTCACAGTCACAGTCCTCCCGTTGTTCATCGATTTGCTCGAGCGGGCCCAATAACGTCTCCATTGTGAGACTCATTGTTACTGTGTTTGGCATACTGAATACGTCACGGGTAGCTTGCTAGGCTTTGCCATGCGGGCAAGATACTCTCGGTAGCTTGCAGGGCTCTCTGAGAGGGGCGGAGGAATCAAACTCAGGTCGGCTATGTTGGCTGCGTGCAAGGCAAACGCCCTACCGCTGTGCTATCACTCCAGCCCCAGTAGCTGAGTAATGAGATCTAAATGAGGCAGAATAAGGCAGTCTAGAAAAAAGAATCTAAGTGCAAGAATCCTAAAGACAAGTCTGTTGTGCTCCAGAACAGAAAGAAAACTAGTGTTCTTTATGAAAAGTTATGGGGAATATGAGGTGTTTAAAGTATGTTCAAGAGAAATACAGTCAGGTCACATAGTGCTATGTAATTCAGTGAATGCAGACATAATACATATACATATGTGTGTGTGGGTGTATACATATATATATACATACATGTATATACACAAACATAAATCTGTGTGTGCATGCGCACACATTTACACTATACATGTATTGTGTCTTAATTTTTTTTTTCTTTTTGGGTCACACCCGGCAATGCACAGGGGTTACTCCTGGCTTTGAACTCAGGAATTACTCCTGGCAGTGCTCAGGGGACCATATGGGATGCTGGGAATCAAACCAGGGTTAACCTCATGCAAGGCAAATATCCTACCTGCTGTGCTATCACTCCAGCCCATCGTGTCTTAATTTTTATACAGGTTGAGAAGAAGTTATTGTGGAAATTCTGGGTTGTTTATTATTCAGTTTTCAACAGATATCTAATTCAGAAATTTCTTAATTTCCTTTGTGTACAGCCATAATAATATTCAGGTTATTCTTGGTGGCAGCATTTTTATGAAGTGAAATGTTTCTGTAGCACTGTTTAATTTATCTAACAGTACTATTTAGTTATATGATTCATATTTTCAGTAAACATTTTATTTGTAAGAAATAATTGCTCTTTTCTTTGTTAGGAACATTTACATATAACTACAAAATACTTGCCTTATAAATCCAGCTGAAATGAATTTGTCAATAACATTCATTGAAACAGTATTTAACTTATAGTTCCATGATCCTTCAGGGACATAAAAAACATGAAGTTCCACCAACTGAATAAGTTAAGAAGAATATTAGTTAAAATATTTTTCAAGCAGAAAAAAATTGATGTTCTCTAGAATTTTAACAATCATAACTAAAATAAAGATGTAAAGAAAAAATAGAAGACGTTAACATCTATTCTTAACTTAGCCACTTGACACTTTTCCCTGGGATACATTTTCCCTGTAAATAATGTTATGCATACATCCTAGATTACTCTAACATCTTTGAAATACAGGATTCTTTTTGTTGTCTTAAATAATACTACAATACCAACATCAGTTTTCTTACAATCAGTTTCTCCCTTACATTAATATCCTGCTTATTCCATTTGAGTAATCTTGTGAGTCTTTATACTTTATATATTTTTTTCCTGTCATAGTGTAACGACTGATACATCTCAGCACCAGAAAAGGAATAAGCACTGAATTTTGAGAAGTATTTGTTTCTCAAAACTCCAGGAAGTACTTAATCTTGACAAGTGATTAGAAAAAGAATGGTGGTTTTACCTAGCACGTCTCTAAGACTGTCTGTATTTGTATATCCAATCTTTTTCCTATTAATATTTTGCTATAACCTCAAAAAGAGGTATGTATTTATAATATCATGTATTTATAAAACTAGCTGATACAGCATAAGTAAAGCAAATATTAAATTTTGTCTAATAAATTTTTAAACTAGATATTAAAAATCAAAGCATTACAATAATTATAAATGTATTATTTAACATAAAAATGTTAAAGATCTGAAAGAACTTTAAAATTTTAGTAAATATGACAGTAATTAGTGATTTTATAGGATTTGTTTTTTTCATTTTGGGTCACACCTGGCAATGCACAAGGGTTACTCCTGGCTCATTCACTCAGGAATTACTCCTGGTGGTACTCGGGGGACATATGGGATGCTGGGGATCGAACCCTGGTCGGCACATGCAAGGCAAAAGCCCAACCTGCTGTGCTATCATTCTGGCCCCTATAGGATGATTCTTTTTTTTTTTTTTCCTTTTTGGGTCACACCCAGTGATGATCAGGAGTTATTTCTGGCTCTGTACTCAAAAATCACTCCTAAGGGGTATGGTGCCGCCAGTAGGTCAATCTGTACCTGTGAGGCGAGCGCATCAGAAGCCTGATGGCGCCTCAGACTTTCAGATACCTCAAAATTGCTGCTATGCCTTTGGCCAGACCCCCAAAACTTGGTGCAAAGTTTACCAAGAAAGTAAATGGCCAAAAAGTTAGGTATGTGGGAAACACACCCACAAACCACCTCCGGCTCAGTTATATAACTGGAGGCATGGCCTCTCTGGTTCCTGATTGAACTGCTTAATGGCCATGATCCCAGAGACTCAGAAACAAATCTCAAAACCCAGCGGCTTTTGGCAGAAATGAGTCCAGTTCCTGCAGCAGGTTACCAGTTCTGGGCCAACCCAGGTGGTAATAGGTTACATGCCTTGGCATTTCCCCCTGGCGGCCCAGTGGCCCACCATCCTCCAGAGGCCACTGGACAGTTTTGGGCCCGTAGTGACGAGACACGTGGGGCCACAAGGGATGGGGGTGGAGCCGGCCCTTTCCTCCCCACTCCAATGAGACCCCAAGTCACTGCCCACAAATGGCCTCCTTGGCTCCTGATCAAGCTGCTTAACGGCCATGATCCCAGGGACTCAGAAACAAATCTTGAAACCCAGCAGCTTTTGGCAGAAATGCGTACGGACCCTGCAGTAGATTACTGTCGCAGGGCCACCCCAGGGGGGAAAAGGGTGTTGTCCCTCCGCCTGCTACCCTTGGGCGGCTTGGTGGCCTCCATCCTCCAGAGGACACTGGACAGTCAGGTTTGGGCCCTCCGTGACGAGACACATGAGGTCTCATGGGATTGGGGTGGAGCCGGCCCTTTCCCCCTCCCCATCCCAAGGAGATCCCGAGTCACCGCCCACGAATGGTCTCTCTGGCTCCTGATCAAGCTGCTTAACGGCCATGATCCCAGAGACTCAGGAGCAAATCTTGGAACCCAGCAGGTTTTGGCAGAAATCCCTCCAGATTTAACTGTTAAAACTTTGGAATTCCAAAATCATGCTGCCACTACTGCAGCCATGCGACACCATATGTTATTCATAACCAGCAATAGAAAACAAATTGTCTACTGTTGCCTTTTCAGCAGATCTGAATGTTGGAGTAAAATCCCAAATAATAATGGTGGGTCTGGTGTCAAAATATTGAATGTGATCAAAGTAGAGAGACCATAATGTGGAAATCATCTGCCCCACAGGTAGGGGAAGGGTGTGGGATGGGGGCATACTGGGGTTTTTGGGGGTGGAGAATGGGCACTGGTGAAGGTACGGGTGTTTCATTGTATGACAGAGACTTAAACCCGAAAGCTTTGTAACTGCTCTCATGGTGATTCAATAAATAAAATTATAAAAAATGAAAAAAAAAACCCAGTAAGGTGGAGTTCATGCCCAATTCATTCAGCTAATCAGTGGCTGAATAAATAGCAGTACTCCTACATAAAAAACAAACAAACAAACAAACAAACAAAGAATCATTCCTGGCGGTGCTCGAGGGACCATATGGGATGCTGAGAATCAAACCTGGGTCAGCCATGTGCAAAACAAAGGCTCTACCCGCTGTGCTTTTGCTAGGATGATTCTTGAACTGAATGTCTGACTCAAATTCGTTTAAAACAGACTAAAATTAAATTAAGTACACATCTCAGGTTGAGATATATGCCTTTACTTTTATACTTTTTCATGAAAGAATATTAGTCAACAATTTAAGACATCTGCACACAGCTGACAGTGAAGCTATTTAAAAAAGATAAATCCCTAGTTATACTATATAACAATACTATGCTTTATCAAACCTTTTCAAAAAGAATAAGGGTTTTTATATTTTAGTACAAAAAGATTTTCTTACCTCTGATGAGGATGACTGACTAGGATCCATGGACATATTCACTAATGTCTCCATAGTATAATTGTCAGTTGAAATAGTGTGTATTCACATCTTTCTTTTCATTTCAGCATAAGTTAATAAAAGTTATAATAGATGTTTGGTTTCTGGAAAAAAGTATTCCATTCATTTATTGTCTCTAATTTGTTCAAAAAGTGAAAAGAAAACCATAAAGACTTAAAATTTTAAATTAAATCTTAAGAATATATATAGTCTTATTCTAATTTAAAAATATATACTACCAGTAAACAGCTTTGATAATTACATTGACATGAACATTCATACTATAAAATTAAGTGGTAAATTCATTATAATGGACTACAATTAAGCATATTTTGTTATTCTAAACCATTCATTTTCTCTTAGCCAAAAAGTTAAGGACAAATTTATATGGCATTTACAATATAGTCCAATATACTTTTTTAAGTAGGAAGACTTAATTTATATAAATAGGTATAATAATGGTGACCAGTTTTTTTTCCCCCCACCGGCAATGCACAGGGGTTACTACTGGCTCTGCACTCAGAATTTACTCCTGGCGGTGCTCAGGGGACCATATGGGATGCTGGGAATCAAATCCGGGTCAGCTGTGTGCAAGGGAAACACCATACCTGCTGTGCTCCAGTCCCATAAACAGCTTTATCATTAGTAATTCTCCTGGAATTGGTAACTCAATAGCAAAAAAATGTCAATCTGTATCAGGCAATATTTTGGTACTGATGATTTTATTTCATTCATTTCATCATCCTGTTATTCATCGATTGCCTCGAGCAGGCCCCAGTAACGTCTCTTTCATCCTAGCCCTGAGATTATATTCAAGGGTCTTTAGGAGAATGAGACCCATCATTGTTACTGGTATTTGGCATATTTGGTACGCCACGGGGAGTTTGCCAGACTCTGCCCTGTGGGCAGGCTACATTCGATAGCCTGCAAGTTTGTCCAAAGTAGGAATGAGATAATGAGATAATAAGACGTCATAAAAAGATGTCCTGATGATAGGATTTAAAATAACTTATAATAGACAAGAAAATTAAAAATATATAATAAATCAAAGAATAATGTTGATATGAATTGCCCTAAGAACTTTATCAAAATAAGATGATCCTTAGTATACTAATCACACCACCACCAGAGCAGAAACTTTTTCAAGATTTCAAAGCATTGCTCTATCCTGATTTAAACTGAGATGGTAATTTAAATTTAACAAAAATTAAAATTCAGGGCTGGGAAGGTAGCTCAAAAGGCAGGAGCACATGCTTTGCACTCAGAAGCTCTGGGTTCAATCATGACACCACGTGATCCATCCCCCATCTTTCCTGAACTGAAATGTGATCCAAAACCCAAAACCAACCAAATCCCACTCAAATCCCAAATAACCTGAAAATGTCTGTGATCTGTTTAACATCCTACCAGACCACTAATTGTTTTTAATATTGTCAAAATAAAAGATTATACTCTGGAGTCCACATTTTTCAAAATCATTTTTATATTTACTTCCTATATAATGGTATACTTATTAAAGTGATTAAAACTTAAAATGCGATTTGTCATTTTAACACTATTAAAATATACTGTTGCGTTAAGAACACTTGACCTATTTCATTTCTATCTATTCAAAGGTTCTTTCTGCCATAGTACTAACTTAGTCTTTTAACAAAACACAACTCAGCCACATATAGTATACATCTAATGATGCAATTATGGTAAATTCTCTCTCATATAAAAATTTACAATAGTTACTTGGGCATTCTTAACAGGTATTCAAATTGAGAGGTTAATTTTTTTTTTTTTTTTATCTCTGTGGATGCATAAGGAACCAAACTTTTAAATTCAGAACAAATTTCTTTCTGGGGCTTGTGGGTTGTGCATGACTGGCTGTGCTCAGGGCTAACTTCTGACTCTATACTCAAGGATCACTTTTGACAGTGCTGAGGGCCCAATGAACCTGGGTCAGCCACAGCCAAGGCAAGTTCCTTACCCACAAGTACCATCATTATAGCCTCAGAAGAAATTTCGGGGCCACAGCCTGTCATGCTCAGGGCTTCCTTCTGACTCTGCGCTCAGGGATCATTTACGGCAGGCTCAGGGAACCATATGGGGTGCCAGGGATTCAACCTGGCCGTGTTCAAGGCAAATACCTTATCCAGTGTACTAACTCTCCCAACCCCAAAAGCATTTGAATTATACCTGTCTTTATAATCTTCCAGTGAATCAGTACTAAAATGACCTACTCCTGCGTGGCCCAGAGACAAATAAATGGTCTGGCATGAATAGAATTAGGAACTTAAATTGTGAGAACGAAAGCCTCAAAAACACATAGTAGATACTGAAACAAAAAGAACGTAGTATGTGAAATCAGGAAGCAGTACGAAAGTCTTAAGTTAAGCAAATATGAGAAAGTTTTAATAATTTGTTAACAAAATAAGGAGAGGATTAGTACAGATAGTACCACAGGTATGCTGCTTGTCTTGCGTGCAACTGAGTCCTGTTTAGTTCCTGGGAACTGCATTTAGTCCCTCAAGCACAGCCCGAAGAGAATCAGGACTAAAAGGATGGGAGAGTTCTAAGCTTAAATTCCCTTTTTCACCTTGGCATTGCATTAGTGCAATCGTTCCTCTTACCACTGTTTTCTTTACAATAATCTTATTATTTGAGGTAATTTGCTATTAAAACCAAAAATACTGATTAGCTTCTCCAGAAATTCTTAGAATGCGTAGTTAATCATAATCAAATCATGTCACATAGCGTCTATCTCCTAACATACAACCGTTAGGATTTCCCAATTCTTATTACTAATAAAATTAAAACAAAATTTCAAAGAAATTTCTGACAGCTCTATAGCCAGAGAAAAATTACCATAGTGCTCTAGTCTAATATCTCACTGTACAATTTTGCTTTCACTTCCTTGCCAGGATTGAGAGATTGTTTTTTATCTTGCATATTAAATCCCATCTATTGATAATTGACTACATAAAAGAAAACTGCTGAAAAGGATCCCAAGTTCACATCTGGTCTCAGTAAGATAGAGTACAGAAATGGATGATCATAGTCTACTGTGGTTCTGACTATTGGTAGATCTATCATCTTCTGTTCTTAATCTTGACTCGAAATTCATAGAAATTACACTGGTGAAGGGGAAGGGTTGTGCTGAAACATCGTATGTCTGAAAACCTAATCATGAACAACTCTGCAACTGTGCTGTGATTCTATATATGTATTTATGTACACACACACACACACACACGGCGGTTCTGAGTCATGAAAAACTTTGCAACTGTGCTACCTGTGATCTATGTATGTACACACACACACACCCCGTGGCTCAGAGCCTGAAAACCTAATCATGAACAACTTTGCAATTGTGCTGTGATTGTATATATGTATGTATGTACACACAAACACACACATACACACACACTGTGGCTCAGAGCCATGAGCAACTTTGCAACTGTGCCCTGATCTATATATGTACACACACACACTCACACCCCGTGGCTCAGGGCCTGAAAACCTATTCATGAACAACTTTGCAGCTGTGCTGTGATTCTGTATGTGTACACACATACACACACACACACACACACACACACACACTGCGGCTCAGAGCCATGAGCAACTTTGGAACTGTGCCCTGATCTATATATGTACACACACACACACACACACACACACACGCACACCCCGTGGCTCAGGGCCTTAAAACCTAATCATGAACAACTTTGCAGCAGTGCTGTGATTCTGTATGTTCTGTATGTGTACACACACACACACACACACACACACACACACACACACACACACAGTGGCTCAGAGTCACCGGAACCCAGAGCGGTTGACCGCGCAGAACTGCTTCCAGTGTGGACGTCTCCGCCGCCGTCCCCACCTCCAACTCCGTCGGGAAAACACTGGGCGGGGTGTGTGTGTGTGTGTGTGTGTGTGTGTGTGTGTGGTGTGGGTGGGGGGACTTTCTTCGCCCCACCACACCTTCGACAAACTCCCTCCAGCACCTGGCTGCTTTCCACCGTCCGCTCCCGAGCAGTCCTCCTCGCGGGTACCTTTCCCACCTCTCCTCAGAGAAAGTTGGGGGTGGGGAGAGGCTGCGCCGCGCGCGTCCACGCCCGCGGTCCGCTCCGCCCTTTCGCGCGCTCCGCTCGCCGCCGCCCTCCGGCTTGGGGTCCCGCCAGAGGGCTCGGCCGAGAACCGCGACGGCGCGAGGCGACGGGTGGCGCATGCGCGCAACGCGCGGCGCCGCCCGGCCAAGTACCGGAAACTTCGAGACAAAGTTCTGAGCTCCGCCCCTCCCCCCCACCCCCCACCCCGCCACCCCCGCCCCGCCGTGGAACTGCAGACGGCCAGACCCGACCCGCCCGGAACGACGTTCCGGCCCGGCTCTCGCGTGCGCCATGTCGGGTTCCTCCAGTGTCGCGGCTATGAAGAAAGTGGTCCAGCAGCTCCGGCTGGAGGCAGGGCTCAACCGCGTGAAGGTGAGCGGGAGCGGGCGGGTGGGGCCCGAGGAAGTTGGCGTCGGGCTCGCGCGGCCCCGGAGGAGCCCAGAGCGCGTGCGCTCGGGCCGGGCCGTCCGGGGAGGGGAGCCGCGCGCGCGCCTCTTCCGCCCGGGCGCTGCTCCGGCCGGGCCGGCTCCGGGCTGGGCCGCGGCTTTCCGCGTCCTGCTCCGCCTCCCGCGGCCGCCGCCGCCCCTCCTCGGCCTGCCGGGCCGGGCCCTCCGTCCTCCCCGCCGCGCCCTTCCCGCCTTCGGTTTTCGCCGCGGAGGAACCTTTTTTGGTTTTTGTTTCCACTTCGGGGCGGACATTTTTTTTTCTTTTTTTACCCCCTTCTCCGGCCTGTTTCCCCGGGCCCTCCCGCTCCACTCCACCCCCAGCACCCCCGACGCCGCTTGACTTCAGTTGGGCTTCACAAAGCCGTTCTGTGTCCGGGGCGACCCGGGTGCCTCCCACAACCCTGCACTTGGGAGCCGCTGGGCACGGACGGGCGCGCTCTCTGCTGACCTTGGGACGCGAGCATGGCCCGCCGGCCCGAGGAGGCACCGGGGGCCGACCGGTCCCTGCTAACGCGGACCCCGGCCTCTGCCGGGGCTCTGGGCAAGGTTGTGAAAATCGCCAAGATGACTCGGAACAACTGTTCCGAGTTGCCTCCACGACGGCGGGGCGGGGGCTGGTGACCCGCCCCGGAGGAGGAAAGGAGCCGCCCGGTCCCTGGCCCTTAATTGCCAGAGAGACTGGCTTGTGGGCCCCCTGGGAAGCCCCTGACTCCGTTGGGAGGGGTCCCTCCCGTGCGGGGTCTCGGACCCAATACTTGACTTCGGGGTGCGTGTCCCGAGACTCCCGAGTTTCACTTGTGGCACGCTGTCGTCCATCCTTGGCTCAGTTTAACTCAGACTTTGAAATCGTGCCGCTCCTAACACCCAGCCCGGTCACGATGTGCCTTTCATGATGCAGTAAAGTGGCTGGGGGGTGGGGGGCAGGTTGTGGGGGAGGGGGAAAGAGAGGGGATCCTCAGAAGAAGGTGGGCTAAAAGATAAATGTAAGCCGCAGTGCCTAACTCCTGTCTCCAAAGAAAATGAGACGAAGCTCTCAGTGGCTGGTACCCTGCCCTGAGGACACTAGACAACTCCTATCCCCCGCCTGGTGCACCCAGTTCTTTGGAGCGTCAGGGCTGGGATCATGAAAGCCACCAGCAGTGATTGGGTTTTCAGTTTTCATTTCGGGGCTGGAGAGAGAGGGTACAGCAGGCAGGGCGTTTGCCTTGCATTCATGCAGCCCACCCAGTTTCAAACCCCAGCATCACATATGGTCTCCTGAGCACCACCAGGAGTAATACCTGAGTTCTGAACCAGGGGAAACCCCTGAGCATGGCTGGGTGGGGCCCCAAAGCCAGGGAAAAAGTTTCCAGTTTGATAGTCGGGTAGCAGTGCGCATGGGAAAGGACATCTTGTCTGGAGACTTACAGTGAGATTTTCTTGAATTAGGGTTGGAAAATGTGAGTTTTATTTTGGGGCATCTGTTGCATTTATCAGTGATAAATGCATATTTGTAACTTTTGTTTTCTTCCCAAAAGAAAACCAAAAAAGCATATATTTACTGTTAAACTTTTGAGTGCTTGAATGTAGGGTTGCCTTTTGCTTCCTTGTCAAAAGGGCACTTTTGAGAGTGAAAGAGGACACTAACAATAGCAGGATTATAGCCTTTCAGCTTCTTGGATGGCAGTTCATACAGTGCCTGGAAGCTAGCAGTATGTTCCGGGTCTAGAGCCTTTGTCTAAGCTCTTTCTCCTGCCCGGAGTTCTCTTAACAGATCGGTTTCTTAGTGAAGGTTACTTGGCTGCATCTCTTGCCATTGAGATGGCAGTTTGAATGTCACCTCAGAAACACTTTCCCTTTGGTCACATGAACCTGGCACATGACTTTTTTTTCTGCATAGCACCTGCTTTATTTTTCGTTTCCCCTGAACCGTCAGGCTTTGCAACACCAGGAATAAGGAACCTGACTGTTCTTAAGCATCCTTAATGCTTACAAGTTTTTTTGGCAACAGGTGACCCTTGAGATAAGAGGATGTTAAGTTGGAACCTACTCTCTAGGCAGAAAATTAATAGCTAGTATACCAGAATGCTACTCCGGTGAATAACAGCAAGTTATGCAGTTTTGTGGAAAAATAATGAACACCCACATTGTCACATGGTTGTCCTTCATCTAGTGTTCTGCCAATCCTATTCAGGATGACTCGAGTGAACAACTTGTAGATGACAGACAATAGGCAGATCGGGCGATAGTTGCCAATGTCATGGATGTCTCCCTTCTTGAACAGTAGTACGGTCCTGCTGGTTTTCCATTGAGATGGAACCTTGCATTCAGACAGGTAGCGAGTGAAGAGCCGAGCCAGTGTATTGATGAGTACTGACGGCAGGTTCTTCAGGTGTTCAGGTCTGACCTTGTCTGGGCCGGGTGCTGTTTGCTTCTTTACTGACGAAATGGCGTGTCGGATTTCGGAAGGGAGAACGTTGGGAACGACATACCCATCCTGTGGAATTTGGTATGTCGGCAAGTGGACATGGCTATCGAAGAGATTTGAGTAGAAGTCATGGATAATCTTCTCCATTGCCGTTCTGGAGGATGTGATGGATCCATCAGGACGTCGGAGGGCAGTCATCTTGGTCTTATAGTTGGCGAAGGACAGGCGGGCGTTACGAATACTTTTCCCGGCTTCTGCCGCATCTACCAGTACTTCTGCTCTTCTCTCTTTGAGGTCTTCCTTGATCGCATCTCTGCACTGCTTTGCAAGCTCGGACGTTAGCTTGCGGTTGCCTGAGGCATGCGCCAAACCACGCTGGCGAATTAGCTCAAGAGTTTTCGAAGATAGGCGACTTTTTGTGGCTATCTCTCTCTTGGCGTTCCTCGCACATTCATGGAGGTGCTGAACCAGTCGATCGTATTCCTCGTCAATGTTGTCAACAATGGCATCTTCCCATGTTGCCGCAATAGTACCAAAGAGTTCCCAGTTGGTGGTCGTTCTGGGAGTTCTCTTTTTGAACTTTGCAGCCCTTTCCCCCCGCTCTGTGAAGTAGAATTTTGCACGAAGGAGACGGTGGTCCGATCCCGTTCGAAACCATGTGAGCAAGCAGGGTTCCGCAAAGGATTCAGCACCATCGACCATATCCACACGATAACCAAACTCATTGAGGTTTCTCGGGAGTTCAAGATGCCGCTCTGCTTAACGTTCATTGATTTAAAGAAGGCCTTTGATTCTGTTGAGACGGAAGCGGTCATTGAAGCCCTAGCCAATCAGGGCATTCAAGCCCAATACATCAGGATCCTCCGTGAGCTGTATTGCGGATTCACTACCAGGATCTCACCATTCTACAAAGAAGTGATCGTTGATGTCAAGAGAGGGGTGCGGCAGGGTGATACCATTTCACCAAAACTCTTCAGTGCCACCCTCGAGAACATCATGCGACGACTGGAATGGGAAGGAATGGGAGTGAAGATAGATGGTAGGCAACTACACCACCTCCGCTTTGCTGATGACATTGTTTTAATAACACCAAACATCAGCCAAGCGGCACAAATGCTGGCCGACTTTGACCGTGAGTGTGGAAAGGTAGGACTACAGCTGAATCTTACGAAGACAATGTTTATGAGAAACAGCCTTGTTCCTGACGCCCCATTCGCTCTCAATGGAACGACCATCTCCGAATGCAACAGCTATGTGTACCTAGGTCGAGAGGTCAACATGACAAATGACCTGGCACCCGAGCTGCGCAGGAGGAAGAGAGCGGCTTGGAACGCCTTCAAGAACGTCGAAGAAATAGCTAAGAGGACGAAGAACCTCCGGCTCTGGGCACATCTCTTTGATTCCACTGTTCTTCCTGCATTAACATATGCCTCAGAGACCTGGGCCCTACGCAAACAAGATGAGAACGCCATTCAGGTCTCCCAAAGAAGAATAGAAAGAGCTATGCTTGGAATATCACGTTTCACTCAAATGAGAGAACGAATCCGGAGTTCTGACATCCGTCGACGATCAAGGATCAGGGACGCTGTCTCATTTGCCAAGGTGTCGAAAATCAGATGGGCTGGTCACGTAATGAGATTTAAAGACGACCGTTGGACTAGAGCTGTTACTGATTGGATTCCACGGGATGTCAAGAGACCGCGTGGCCGCCCACCTACCAGATGGTCAGACTTCTTTGTCAAGGTCATGAACGATCGGTTTGAGGCCCTCCATGTTCCCGGAGCGAAGAGATGCCATTGGGCTACACTAGCACGCGACAGGGACAAATGGAGACGTTACTGGCGCCCGCTCGAGCAAATCGACGACTAACGGGAAGTTAAGTGATTAAGTGATTAAGTGACCCACATTGTCACCTTAGCCACACCTTTTGTCAAAGTACTTCTTTATACCAAGATTTTAAAAGTGCTTCTTGGTTCCTCTGGGTTGTTGCTCTAAACCAACATACAAGTGGATTTCAAAAAGTTTTTATTCATCTCAGCTTGATGAATCCTTTTCTCCAGTTAATATTTGTGGTGCGTTAACTAGAGAACCTAATGGACTGGTACTGATTTGTGGGTGTAGAAGGTTGAAAACTAATGCACTAATGCCGTGGTTATAATTGCGGGTCTTTGGGCTAGTATGCAGAAGGTGCCTATCTTCGGGCATGTAAAAAGGTTGAATACAACTTTATAGGAGAATATGAAACTTAAATTTCCTTTCAAAGTCCAGATATTCAGCTTCCAGTGGACTGGACATCTAATCTCACTCTCCTTAGCTAGTTAAAATGGAAAAGATTATGTTTTCCATCTTCCTAAATCTCGGTTTCCTGTGATATTCTCACGTGGAGCATCTTTTGATTGCTCGTGTTCTTTAATTGAACCATTGGATCAATTGTTTTATTAGTATGCTATCAGCAGTTCAAATGGACAAAACTGAACAAAGAGCTTTTTTCTGAGTTTCATGTGATAGAAGGGCTGATAGCAAATTGTTAAACATCTTCTATAAGACTCTTCAAGAATTGGTATTTGCCTTAAAGGTGATTTAGTAGTTTTCATATATGTAAGCCACTAAACAGAACTGAAGAAACTTTGTTAGCTTTATAGTTAGTTTATACTCTACATCACCTTATAAGAATAAGTAGACTTAAAGTGAATGAATGCATATTTTTAATTTATTTTAAATAGGGGCTGCCCCCTTAAGTTTCTTCAAGGGAAAAATGCTTAGTAACACTGCTTGCATGACAAAGTGAAAAGTTGCTACAATTGTAGTTTTTTTTTTTTAATTATGTGCTGCTTTTAATGAAAAGCAAGATGTTAAGGACGCTGGAAGGCTGAACAGCCTGTCAGTAAACTAGCGAGATATTATGCTTTGCAGATAAATACAGCGGAATCATTTGCTGTTTCTAAATAAGCAAGTAAAAGAAAACGTACTATAAACTGCAGATCTTTCTCAACTTACAAACTCATCATACACTGAAAATATTGTATGCTGAAATGAATTTAATTCATCTAACCTACTAAATGTTATAGCTTAGATTTGCCTTTCATAAATGTACTTAAAATACTTGATTAGCATCATTGGGAAGTTTGAAAAGGCCTCCCCTCAAATGTTGAAAAGTCTACCAAAGAACTCTGATAGAGGACTCTCTACTTACAAGTAGTATTTTTAGTGAGTTCAGTATATAACTTCACCTTTAATCTTTTAAGAGTAGTACTTATTGCAGGTATGTGATGAAATAGTCATTAAGGCATTTTTACCACTACCTTGTCCTTACAGGTTTCCCAGGCCGCTGCAGATTTGAAACAGTTCTGTCTGCAGAATGCTCAGCATGACCCCCTACTGACTGGAGTGTCTTCAAGTACAAATCCCTTCAGACCCCAGAAAGTTTGTTCCTTTTTGTAGATAAAATCTTTGGAAGGTAAGTCTCCTTAAAACAATAAAATCCCACATAGTAGAAATAAACTAGTCAAATCTTTTTGCAGCATTTACAGATTGACCAGTGTCGATCATCTTGATTTTTGTGAAGAAAGGATTGATGAAACGTGATGATTGTAGCCATATCATTTTTCTCTAGCCACAAAAAAGGTGTTAAATTACTAGCAAATTCAATGCTACCGTGACAAGACCTGTTACTTTACGTAGCATTCTCCTAATAAGTGTGCTATGGGCCCATAAATACTGGCTTAAGTTTTTGCATATCTATAAGTAGGCATGCAAAATATTTTTTTTTTTAGTGTTTATAGTAATGACCTCTTCTTGGTTTTGGGCCCGCACCCAAGGCTTTCTCCTGGCACAGTGCTCAGGACCATATGCCATGTCAGGGAGTAATGACTTTTAAATTACTACTAATTTCTTTTGGATTAAATATTGTTCTTATATGATCTGGCTACAAGGCAGAATATCAAATACTTGGGATATGTGAATGCATGAGAAAAAGAAAATAGTTGAATAGCCTGATTTGGAATGGCGAATAACTGGTTTTTATTCTTATTAAAGATAAACTAAAAGGATGGTTTAAAAGTATGTTTATTACATGTTAATCTGAACTTTTCCAGATCAAGTGTTGGGGTGCAAAAACAAACTTCAAATAATGTGATCAAAATAATTCTTTAGATTCAGTCCAAGAGTACTACACTTTAAAGATCTGTGGTACTTTAGCCAGGGCATGCGGTCACTGTTGCTTGTCACTGTGACAGGCTTACCAGTATTTTTTAAAAAGTGATGACTATATGGTACACACCCTTTACAAACATTCTTCTCAAAGTCCAGGAAACTGCTTCCTAAAATACCACGTTACATAGCTGTGCCCTAATTAAGCTTTGTAGGCTTGGGAGTGTCCAGGAAGTCTGTGTTAAGTCTTTGCAATGTTCCAGTAAATGGAATGAATGGCATATTGGTTAAAAATTTTAAGGCATTGTTGGAGGGTCATCTTTTATGTATCAGATTTTCCTTGAGGAAGTGATACGGGTGAATCATACTGTATTCAATTATTTGACATGTTAATTTGGGGTTGGGCTTGGACCTTATTTGGCAGTGTTGGGGTGGGCTCTGTTTTCTGGGGACAGTGCAGTGCAGTATCATTCAGCCCTTAGAGCTCTCTTTGGCCCTTTAGTAAAGATCCATTAGGGCTGGGTAGATGACTCAAAGGGCTGCAGTCATCTATACTTTCGACGCAGGAGCCTGGCTTCCGTCCATTACCACATGATCCCTAAGCACAACCAGAGGCAGTCTCCTCATTGCCTGGGTCAGACTCCCCCACATCTCCACCAAACAAATGTGTTACAGGATACAGAGATTAAAGTGCCACATGGTGTCATGTCCTCCTCCCCCACAACCCCATCCCCCAAGTAGATTGCTGGCTAGAACTAGCTTCTTACTTACTACTGGGTTTGGGCCCCACTTCTCTTCCCCACCTCCCCACCCCCTCCCCACATACACACTCCTAAAAACTGTTACTGCTTTTTGAAATTTGTTGATCATAGAGTGTCGTCACTTTAATTGCTGATTATCACATGCCTATATCTAGGTTTAGTCATTCTGCTGTTAAGTTGCTGGTCAGTAACTATTACAGTAAAAAATAGCGATCTACATGATTTTCACTGTATATAAGGTTATCAGGATAAAAAGAAATATAGATGTGTGATTGTACATTCTACCTCAGCAGATAATGTCAAACGGCTCTTAATACAGTTGCTGTTTTCTAAGGATGTTCCTATTTTTCTCAGTTGCGGGATTTTTTTAAAAAATTTTATTAGTGAAACACCATGACGTACAGTTGTAGACTTACAAATTTTTGTGCTTGGGTTTCAGTTACACAATGATTGAATACCCATCCCTCCACCAGTGCCCATTCTCCACCACCACTGATCCCAGTATCCCTCCCACCCTCATGCCCCCATACCTCTGTGGCAGAACATTCCCTTTTGTTATCTCTCTCCTTTTGAGTACTGTGGTTTGCAAAAGAGACATTGAGTGGCAATCATGTTCAGTCTATAGTCTACTCTCATCATGCATCTCCCATCCTGGGAGGAACCTCCCAACACCCTTTATTTGGTGCTCCCTTCTCTGAGAGTTGCAGGATTTTTTAAAAAAATGTATATAAATCAGTTATTTTGGCATTGTTAGCAAATTAATCTAAAGTGTGCTTACCTTTAAATTACTACTTTCAGACCTACCTACTCAGGGTGGGTGTGAAAATTAAGTTGTTGAAAATGTAACCCATAGACATTTCCCATCTGAGTCTTTTTTTGGGGTGGGGGGCACACATGGTGGTGCTCAGGGAGACTATAGGCCTTTGGAAGACTATAGGATGCTAGAAATGAAATCTGGCTACATTGGCTATGTGCAAGACAAGGATCTTACCTGCCATGCTATCACTCTGGCTCTTCAGTTGATTTTATTTTATCCTTAGCAAATACTGTTGTGATATGGCTATGACCCTTTTACTAGTACAGATAAGGAGCCAGAGAGTGAGTGAGCTGAGTGCATGCTTTGCAAATGGACAGAGACAGTTTTTTTTTTTTTAATTTTAATGGATCACCATGAGACACAGTTACAGACTTACAAACTATCCTACGTTTCAGCTGGTTAACCTCCCTAGCACCACTGGGTGTGACTCGAAAACAAAATAAATAGACAAGTAGTCTTGGTTTAATTGAAATTGTAAATTGACATTCAAATGAATGCCCTAAAACCAAAGAGATGCTGTTAGAAAAACCTATATTGAACTTTACCTTAATGCAGTTTTTCCCCCACTATTTCAGGTTTGCCGATTCAAGAAAACAGAATATTCACCGGAGTTACATTCGAAGTCTATACAAGCTTACACACAACTTGTGCCATATAACCGTTTCAGTCCTTTAACATCTACCTCTGAATTTTCATGAATTTCTTTTTCACAATAACTATTTTATATAGAACAGCATACAATAAAATACTTAGTATAAATTGTTTTGCATATTGTTATTAAATACACCATTATTTGTTTTGATAAGATAAATGATAATTTTGGAATTAAGTTTTTATTCCTCTGACAACGTGTCAAACAAAAGGTGCTAGAAAATTAAAGATATATTTAAGGAAAAAACAAACACTGCCTTATTCAAGATTAGTTTTGTATAAAACCAGTGGGTTACATAGAATTTACTAAGCACTTAACATTTCTAGCCCAAATAGTCTCTTAAAGTCTTGATTCTATGTGCCTGCCACAGGGAGGGAGGGATGGGAACACTGGTGGTGGAGGGAGAACGGGAACTGGTGGAGGGAGGGGTACTGGATCATTGTATGACTGAAACGTAAGCACAAGAATTTGTAAGCTTGTAACTGTACCTCACGGTGCTTTCATTAAAAAATAAAAAAATAAACATTAAAAAAGTCGATTCTAATTTATTCACAGAAGAATTAAATTTTAGGAAGTCACAATTTCTGAACCTTCACCAAAAATGACTTTTATTTTCTACAATGAACAAATATTAGTAATGAAACATGGTAATTTGTCCAGACAATAAAACTTACAAATACTAAATTGGAAAAGATCTTCTTTCACAAATTCAAGATAGCATTTTTTCTTGACATCTTATAAATGGAATTTTCTTCTACTTGTATCCATTTCTTTGGGCTAAAAATTAGAGGGGTGGGGAGGAATTAATAAACTCTTAAAACCAAGTGCTAATAAAGAATGTCTCTAAGAATGATCAAGTCTTGGGGACTAAAGCAATAGTACAGCAGGGAGGGTTTTTGCCTTGCACGCGGCTGACCCGGGTTCGATTCCCAGCATCCCATATGGTCCCCCAAGCACCGCCAGGAGTAATTCCTGAGTGCTTGAGCCAGGAGTAACCCCTGTGCATTGCTGGGTGTGACCCAAAAACCAAAATAAAAAAAAAAAGAATGATCATGTCTTTAAGTCTGATATAAAAAGCTTTGCAGTTACTAAAATATAAACAAGTATATGCATATGTAATATACATTTTTTGTTTTGTTTTTGGGCCACATTTGGCAGTAGTCTGGGCTTACTCCTGGTTTTACATTCAGGGATCATCCCTGGCGGGGCTTTTGGGTGAAGAGACCTTTTGGGATGCCTGAGATTGAACTTGGTCAGCTGCAAATGCTATATATACTGTATCTCTCTGGTGCCAATAAAATTTTAAAAGTGAGATATATGAAATACTGCTTTCCAGATTTTTAAGATTATATCCCAAATGTCTACTATAGCAATCATTTAAAAAACCAAGCAATGAATAATGGTATATGTTGAAGGCTTATAAACAAATTGTTGGACCCCATTCCCTAATGTCTATGACCAAGAATTTGCCTTCCTAAATCCTAGATGGTGCTACTTGGTCCCATTCTGAGAACCTTTAGGATCTTCAAGTGAAGCAGAGTTAAATCAACAGACTTGAATCAGATATGGGTTCTGGTCTGGGAGGAAATTCAGAAGCATAACTTGAAATACCCAAAGTTAAAGTATATCATTTTATTTTTGTCCCCCTACTTTTTCTAAATGGCTTTTGAAAGAGTAAGCACATACCTTATGGACCCATTCATATTCTCCATATTTAGAATCAAAGGTTCCTTTCTGAAGAGATCTTAATTTTAAGGTAAAACGTGGTCCAAGTTCCTGAATTCCCACTTTTTTTTCACTCTTGAATATGTACCTTTAAAGATAAAGGAAGTTATTCTCAACAAACACAAGGATTTTTTTAAATATGACAGTTCAGAAGCTCATGTATAATAGTTGTCACAGTAAAGCTCAAGGAGTTAAAAGTACTCCCCTCACCTGTGAAATCTGAAGAAGATATAATCCCGTTGATTGTGAAATGTGGCAACCTGCCTTCCAATAAATTGAGGATTATGGGGAAAAAGAGATGCAAACATACGTCCAATAGAATGACCCAGCCGTGTTGTAAAATTGTTCAAAATTATTTCAGGTACGTGTTCTGTGGGGTCTTTGCCTCTTCTCTAGACATAAGAAAATCACAGTAATGAATTAAGCTAACTGACAAAATTAGGTCTCATTTCAATTTTGTTTCAGAATTTACAAAACACATTTTGGTATTTCTGAATAAAAACCAATTTTTTAAATCAAACTCATGAAAATACATCTACAGTAATTTTAATAAATCGTTAATGCACCAAAGAGAAAGGAGTGAAGGCTTATTTGCTTAAACACAATCTAGAAAGATCAATAGATAAGATGTTTTAATTAGGAAAGCAAGTGCCATTATTGAAATCATAAAGGTCTATTAGCAGAAACATCTAATACTGTGAAAAGACAAATGTGGTAAACCAAGGAAAGCATTAAAACTTACCTTAATTTCTTTACGTAGACGAACACTGCTCATTTTAAAATGGGCAGTTGGACCACTTGGCAAGTGACTCAAAATTAATCCATCTGTTCATAAGGCTAAGAACACAATGATCTCTCTAATCAAAAATACTTATTTAAATATCAGTAATTTCTCCAAAGGTTCCTCAAATCTGTAGTTAGGTGAATAAGTGGGTAATTCTCTTAGTAGAAAATTTCTCACCACAATAAAAACGCCAGACATGAATGTCAACCTAAGTGTCTGAGAAAAACAGATTAAGTAATCGTAGTTCTACTTTGTCTCTTTCATAATTAACTTTTATTATCCTCAAGAGTGTTGAGCCAAGGCAAAGAGCTATTAAATGTCCATTACTCTTAACAGATTTTAGGATCCTAGGATATCATAAGTAGGATACAAATTTACTTCCATGTTCAAAGACCTAATATAATCCTAAAAAGTGCACACCTTTTATACATTTGTAAGGGCAGAGTATGCTGTCTCTAAATTGAGTCCCACAAGAGACATCTAAGCTCTTTAAATCAAAGCCATCAGTGTTTCTCAAGAGATAAGATCTTTCCTTTGGGAAGACTGCACTGTAAATTATAATCAACCGACCAATTAATCATTTACTGATTATTTACCGCTAATAGAATTGTGCTAGTTACGAAACTGCAAATGATGTATGAACCACCTATAGTCCTCAGGGTTGGCAGCCCAAGGGCTTTTATGTCCTAGATGCAGGAAACAGACTACTACCTATACAACACTCCTACATCCTTGTAACAGCTGAAACTTTGAGAGGAGGTCAAAAATCGGACTGTTGCAAGTCTGTTTTCACGTAATAGTTTTATAAGACAAGTTGATGTTTTTGTAGTGATATTAATACTCCCATTCATATTAAAAGCTGTGATTATCTCTATTCCTTCCCTGTCGACCAAATCTTTTACCTTCATAAAATCCTTGCCTCTATGGCCCCCTCTACTTTTCCTGCTACTGGCTGTTGGCTAAGGTCCTTTAATTTTTTTACCTAGATTATTAATAAATTATCCTTGATTGGTCTCAATCAAGATACTTAATCTAATAGACTAAATCAAATCTAGGCCATATACCTAGGCCTTGTAAAGTAATAATAGGACTTGGTGTCATTTTATCATCACTAGTTTCTTGTGAGCCAGATGAAAAACTAGATCCCTTCAGTCATCACAGCTATACCTAATTTCAAAGTACTCTTAGCAGATACTAACCTATAGAATAAAATAATACGGTACTGACAATCTCTTACCTGAAACAATCCTATCATAATTTTTTGCTTTTATTTCATACTACTACAATATTTTATTCATGAATATCTACTTTAAATGCTAAACTTTAGTGCCGATTTAAGCTCTAAATCTTACTAGTTCTGTTACTATAACTCTTTTATTTGAATTACAATTATGTAAATACCTTTTTTCCTTAACCATTAACTCACAGCAAATTAACTCTTGCACAGATGCTTCTACAAATACATAGATTATCAATACATATTTGAATTCTTCAACCTCCTGAGCTATCCCAAAGTATTTCTGTATCACTTGCTTATTTAAAACAATCCTAATATTTTAAAGTGCTTAGGAGAAGTAAAGAGTTATTTTTAACTTAAGGGTTTTTAGAAAATTCCCACTAAGTTGTGATTTGTGTGCAAAGCAGACTACAAAAGCCAACATTTAATACCTGGGTTGAACAAAAGATTTTGTAGTATTGCTAATTCTTAATACAAAGGATCATGCTAAATAGGCGTCATTAACTATTTCGACAATGAAAAGATACTGAGAAGGGGCAGTCAATTCAGGCTACTTCAGAATCAGGCCACAGCAATCAACTGGGATGGGATTACCCCTGTTCCCAAACTGGCAGCTGCGTCCATTTGGAAAGCCACAGAGGCTTGTTAGTCATGACCCAGCTAGAACTTACTATTCAAAGGAGGGAATGGAATGCAAACACCTACCCCTCAGCCGCCCCCTCCCTGCTCACACTCTAAGGTGCTAGTAGTATAGCACAAAATTTATCCTGCTCAAATATTTATTTATTTGTCGTAGTGCCTGGAGCGATAGCACAGCGGGTAGGGTATTTGCATGCCTTGCATGCGGCCAATCCGGCCGACCCGAGTTCGATTCCTCTGTACCTCTTGGAGAGCCTGGCTAGCTACCGAGAGTATCTTGCCCACACGGCAAAGCGATATGCCAAACACAGTAACAAGTCTCAAAATGGAGACGTTACTGGGCCCGCTTGAGCAAATCGATGAACAATCGGAGGACAGTGCTACAGTGCATTGCTACAGTGCCTGGAACTGAACAATCTGAAATGAACAGAGCATCACATCCTTTTCCATTAAAAATAATAATAGGGGCCTGATAGACAGCTTGAAGCACATGCCTGATATACAGAATATCCTGAACTCAATCCCTGGTATCTTATGATCTCTCTTGCACCACTGGACATAGCCTTATGACTTTCAGATCCTCCCCTCTTCAATAGAAAAATAAGAATAAAGTCATGAGTCTAATCATAAAAAACTCCTTCTCCCTGTGCCATATTGACTAAAATGACTACTACTGGCCTGCACTATGCCTTAGAAACAATACATTTAAAAGATACATAAGAGAACCTTCTAATGGAATTCCTACATGTAAAATATGTGGGGTGTGCTGCTGCCAGCAGGTCAACCTGTACCCACAGGACAAGTACATCAGCAGCCTGATGGTACCTTCAGGCTTCCTGATAACTCTAAATTTGCAACTGTGCCTCTGGCCAGACCTCAAAAACTTAGGACCAAATTTCCTGAGAAATTAAACCACTAAAAGTTATGTATGTGGGAGTCATACCCACAAACCACCTTTGGCGCAGATATACAAGCTCATTTACTGGCCTTGCTTCAGAGATCCATAAACAAATCTCGAGAGAGATCAAAAGCCGTAGTTAATCTCAGACCTTCGCAAGGCTGAACAGGGATAAATTGGGGGAGGGGGACACGGAAAGGTCAGCCTGGTGCCTGCCGAAGCAGAGCCCCTGGCAGCCGCTTGTTTCTACAATCCAAAGGCTCTGTCATACCCCCAAACTGACTCCACCGTCTCAGGATGGACCTCACCAAGATGGGCTACCTCCCCCTCACTTCCCTGTACTTCTAGAAATCCTTGGCTTTCCAGTCACACCCACACCCCAAAGCTGCCACCAGTTAAAAAGCTACTCCAGCCTTACCATCATACTAAAAATACTGAATGCCCTGAACAAACACCCCTTAGTACCTGTACTGCAAACCATAATGCATAAAAATAGAGGGAGGCTGGGTTGTGGGGTGGGGTGTTAGAGGATGGCAGGAGGGAAATATAACTGATGGAGGGATGGGTGTTGGATCACTCTATGAAACTCAATCATGGACAGCTTTGTAGTGTATATCTGACGATATTCAATAAAAGGGCTGGAGCGATAGCACAGCGGTAGGGCGTTTGCCTTATAAGCGGCCAACATGGCCGACCCGAATCGATCCCTCCGCCCCTCTTGGAGAGCCCGGCAAGCTACCGAGAGTATCGCCCGCACGGCAGAGCCTGGCAAGCTACCCGTGACGTATTCGATATGCCAGACACAGTAACAACAAAGTCTCCAATGGAGACGTTACTGGGCCCGCTCGAGAAAACTGATGAACAATGAGAGGACAGTGACAATGATTCAATAAAAAAAAATTTTCTTAAAGTAATTTTTCTGTGGTTACTACCTGAGAAACTAATGTCTTCTGGAATACTTACTATTCAAAAGATTCATTACTTTAGTACATTAATTTACAATTCAAGTCAAATCATATATGACCAACACAACATGTCTACATTGTTTGTTTTAGCCTAATTTCTATACTATAAATTAAAATTTGCACTAACATACCAAGTGGAAAGTACAAGTAGATAATGTCCTTGATTTATATTGAGATTAATAAAAGTTATAAACAAACAACCTCTCAAGTCTTTTTAGAAAGGGCTATTATCTGATTCTTCCATTTATCTTTATTTAGCCTGGCTTCTGGACAGAAAGTTTTATCCCTACTTAACTGTAATTAAATTATTGTCACAGTCCTCCCATTATTCATCGATTTGCTCGAGTGGGCCCAGTAACATCTCCATCATGAGACTTCTTGTTACTGTGTTTGGCATATTGAATACATCACGGGTCGCTTGCCAGGCTTTGCCGTGTGGGCGAGATACTCTCGGTAGCTTGCCGGGCTATTAATAATGATTTTTAGTTCTGACCCATTCAACTATATGACCATTTTTAAAGATAGGGGGCCAAACCAAGCTGGAAAGGAGGGGTCACACTAGAGCCACCCTGGCAATGCGAGGGATCAAATCCACTGACTTGCACATTCGAGGCATGCTCTACCCCAGTCTCTGATTTAATCATCTTTCAAGTTAGAATTCATAGCCATTGTTCTTTAAATACAGCAACAGCAAAAATAAGTTAGAGGCATTCTTTTTAAGAGTTCCTCTGAAATCAAGGAGAAATACGTTAGGCTAGGTGACCCATTTACCTCAGAATGTGGTAAAATGAAAACAAACCACAAAAGGGATTATTCTCAGCATCTGAAACACCAGAATCTATATAACAGGTTTAAATACCTATGCAGAACAACTAAAAATAATCCAATGATAGATACAACCTCTGGCCACATGAAATCTACCCCAAAATATGGATAAGCCCTCAACAAGGGAACCTCCTTTACGACTTTATCCTTCAGTATCTGTCTATATGAGGCACCCTCCCTCTGACTCATTCTCCTCATTATTCTACTCCCTTAGATTATATGTAAGCATCTTTGTCAAGTTCTATCTCCTTGATATTTTCAGGGAAGATTTCACCCAATTCTACAATATAGTACTATAATTGTCCTTCCCAAACCATGTTTTCATTAATATATATGTGTATTTTGCTGCTATATTATAAATTCCTTAAACCTGTTCATTTATGCATCTTTTTCTAAGGATTAAAATGTTTTACCTGTACTATGTGCTTGATGGATAAAAAGAAAAAATTAGTTCTTAGAATCTTGGAATAGATACCTAACCAGATTTAAAAATCACATTCTGAAAATTATCTCAGTTATTTCCTTATCTTTTACGTGCATTTTAAAATATGAAGGTGATCACTGGAGCGATAGCACAGCGGGTAGGGTGTTCGCCTTACAGGCAGTCAACATGGCCGACCCGAGTTCGATTCCTCCGCCCCTCTCGGAGAGCCCGGCAAGCTACCGAGAGTATTCGATATGCCAGACACAGTAACAACAAAGTCTCCAATGGAGACGTTACTGGGCCCGCTCGAGCAAATCGACGATCAACGGGAAGGCCTCTTTCTTTCTTTCACAGGAAAACAAAGAAGAAAGGATACTTGGTGTTTTACGATCTTCGTTAATAACAATCAGATCTGTGAAATCTCTGGAGATGCACTGTGGAATAATTTTTTTCAGAGCCAGTCCTCTTCTGTAATAAACATGTGAGTTTGGTATAACAGTAGAGAGCTGATCGCAGAGTCGTACGGTTCTCTGTTTAAAAAAATAGAAAGAAAATCCACTAAAGTAAAAACTTTGTGGCATAATAATAATAAAGGAAAGGATAGTGATTATTATAATACAGCATAATAAACAGAGCAAGGCCTGGAAACAAGAAAATTTAAATTAGGAAATATTATCCTTTATCAAAAGTCAGTCATCTTAAAACAATGTTTTCAACAAGAGGTAATTTTGTCTCCAACAGTATATGTTTGACAATATCTGGAAACATTTTCGGTGATTCTGGTTATCAGGTGGGTGAAGAGCTGAGGATGGGGGGAAAGGCTGCTACTGATATGCAGTGATACGTGAGGGGCACTGCTAAATACCCTATAACGAATAGGACAAACCCATAAAAAAAATTATCCGGGCCAAAATTTTAACAAAAATCGTATCATGAGGAATCATGCTTAGTGAGCCTAAATCATGTCACTAGTACTACACTACACGACAGCAAATGAATAAGGCAATTATTAACATAAATATTCTGAATGAATTGTTAGTCAAGCAATAAGTTAAGAAAAAAATTCAAGAATTTTTATATCACTAAATGTGTTTACCCCATGAGGTCTATCTGATGTTGTGATGAGGATCTTGGGAGAGGTCTGTCTGTTGAAGTAAGAAGCAAATTCATCTGTAGCTTCGTCAAAAGCAACCTAGGAAAATATATCAAGAGAAAATTTTACATCAAATACTCTATTTGGTCAGTATTTTAAGAGTAGTTCCAGCAAAATCTATGACACTACCTGACAGGAGATTTAAAAAAAAAAAAAAATCCTAAGAATGGCTTATGACACATGAAGAGGCTCGGTGATTTCTTCTCTACAGAGTAAAAGTATAACACTGGAAAACAATTGTTAAAAACCACAAAAGCAAACTGAAGTTTACCTAATGATGAGAACATGAGGAATTTTCCCTAAAACTTTCCTATTCACCCGTCAACTTGGCTACTGAAAATAGTAAGTTAACTAACTGACATCCAGAGGTAGTGGGTAGACTTGGGGTAGGAAATTATTATGTGTGAAAGCCTGAGTTTTTCTGGTCCACTGGGAGTGTGGGTCAGTCAGAACCTTAAAGGAGAGCCCTGAAAAAGAACAGGGGAGGGAGAGAGGGAGGGATGTGGGGGAAGGGAGAGAGGGTGAGGAGAGGAGAGAAGAGAGAAAGAGAGAGAGACCAAGGTTCAAACCCAGAGCCTCATCTATACAGACAAGCATCTACCACAGAGCTTCCCAGTCTGCCAATACTAACATACACAGGCAAGAGACTCAAGAGTCCTGCATCTGTTAATTTATTGCTTAACCAATAAACAGCTTAATTGGCAGAAATTTTGTCTGAGGAGCTGAAGGTTTTTCAACATAATTTGTCTAAATACTGGCTGATCATTATCATGACACAATCCGACATCATCATGACACATGACACAATCCAAAATGCTATTTTGTTACAATAAGAGTAACAAAATACCAACTAGTGAGGTAGTGTTTCCCTCATAGTCATTTCTGGAAGCTTAACAAAAAAAACCTTTGAAAAAACATTTCAGGGCTGGATGATAGTAGGTAGGCCTGGTCCAGATTCAATCCGTGGCATCAACCCATGGCTTCCTGGAAGATGACTTTGGCCCCCGGACTTCCCCCTGGGCAATCCCAGGCAAGGCCTGAGCAACAGCACATTTGTGATGCCTAACATTGCCTGCCAACTGGGCAGAGTGGCTGAATATTCCTGGCAGTGGCCCTGTGTCCTTGAGTGCAGATGAGAGTTCCTCCACCCTCAAAAAGACTGTGTGTGCACTGTAATTTTTTAAAAAAGGGTTAAAATGATAATAATAATACTAAGTTTATAATAGACACATGTACAATGCACATGAAATAGCACCAAAAATAATACTGGAGGAAGTGAAGCTACATAGACTGATGCAACTTGCTATATTTTACATGATGTAGGCTGTGTTTAATTGAAGGTGCATACTATGATTTTAGAACCACTAAAAAAAGTAACTGAAATATAGCTTATAAGATCAAGAGAGATTCTGACAGTATCTGTTTAAAAGGAAAGAAAATTGTCAAGGAGAAATAGAAGAAATAGAAAAAAGATGATTAAGAAAGCAAAACGGGAGCAGTTAAATATTTAAGGAGTAGACAGGGCATACGCTGTATATATGTGAGGCCCCGAGTTTGATATCTGGTACCATGTAGCTTATGCAAACCTGAAAACTGCTGGGTGTGGCTCCCAAGCTCCATAACAATAATGATAATCAAAAACCAAAATGTAAAACAATTCCAAATATTTGTAATCGGAAAGTGACACATTAAATCCAAAGACACATCTGGGGAGAGATAGTAGATGGATAAGGTGCTTGCCTTGCATGTGGCAGACCCAGGTTCAATCCCTGCCATCCCACATGGTTCCCCAATCCATTCCAAGAGTAATTTCTGAGCACAGAGCCCATAGTAAGCCTGGACATAGCAGGGTGGAAAAAAAAAATCCCTAAAACAAAAACATACACAAAAAAACCAACCCAAAAATAAATTCAAAGACACTAACTCTTTGAATTAAAAACCAAAGGAGTATATACAATGCAAATAGAAACAATAAGAAAATTTAATGGATATATAGATTTCTGGGCTGGAGCGATAGCACTGCGGCAGGGTGTTTGCCTTGCACGCAGCCAACATGGCCAACCCGAGTTCGATTCCTCTGCCCCTCTCGGAGAGCCCGGCAAGCTACCGAGAGTATCTTGCCCGCACGGCAGAGCCCGGCAAGCTCCCCGTGACGTACTCGATATGCCAAACACAGTAACAACAAAGTCTTCAATGGAGACGTTACTGGGCCTGCTCGAGCAAATAGATGAACAATGGGAGGACAGTGACAGTGACAGTGATAGATTTCTAAAAAAATTAAACACTTCAGGTTTATTTAAAGGGACATTTTACATTTGATTGAGTCAACACATCAATAAGCTCTAATAAATGTATATGCAATAAGAAAAGAATCTCCCAAAAGAAATTAAGCAAAACTAAAAAGAATGAAAGAGATCATATTTCAGTATTCGTTTCAATCCACCTGTTGGCTGGCAACCTTAAGTAGCTTTGCAGGTATAATATAAAATCAGCTCTTTACAGAGAGGGTGGAGAGACTAAAGAAAAAAGCAGATGACTTCAGGCTAGTGGGTGGGAGTTTTAATCAGCATGGGAACTTAATTAAGACTCTATCTTGGGTGTGGCTGTTAAGACAAGATCCTTTTTTTTTTTTTTGACAAATCCTGCCAAATCTCCAAAGTTTATGTACAGGCTTTAACTGTGTTCACTCTTGTTCAGTCTTGACAACATCCTACACATTATATTTTCTCAGAGCGGTATTCTAGGAGCAGCTTCCGAAGTGCAGAGTGAAGGGGCAGGTCACAATGTAGATTCCAATGAGAGGAGGATTTGGAACCTAATTGCTTTGGAGGATCACATTCTCTTGATGACATTTTCCAGTACTCCATTCCTCGTGTTTGACTCTTTAAGAATCTCTTCTGCAAAGTGCCTTGGAACAGTCAGCATGAAGCTGTCCTAGCATGGAGGAAGCTTAACTGGAGGCTGTCTGCACTGGAGGCAGATGTCACAGCCACAATAAAGACACATGCAGGAGAAAATTCAGGTTAAGACAATGATTTACTTATTTTATAAATTAGAACAGCTTTTCCTATCAAGAGACCCATGAGCCACACCACTGAATTACTAATCTCCTAGGCTAAGAATAAGATCACCTAAGGCACTGGCTTATATCCTAATGTTACTGCATAAAGACATAACATTAGCTGACTCACCAGGTTTTATCTAAATAGGTAAGCATTCTCTTTAGATAAAGGCATACATGTCTCTTTGTGCAGCAGTAATAATGTCCAAGGCTATCAATGTAGACAAAAGCTTTTTTCATCAGAGCCATGTCTATACCAACAAGGACAAGGCTTTGTTGAGCGTTTGCTAGATTAATATAAAATAGTCCTCTGTGTGAATATTATGTTCCCATTAACTTCAATGGACAACAAGTCTCAAAATGGAGACGTTACTGGGCCCGCTCGAGCAAAATCAATGAACAACGGGAGGACAGACAGAACTTCAATAGAGAAAACATCTATTTTCAAGGAAATACACATTCTCCTAAATAGATCATATGTTAAGAAAGAAGAGACCTCTTGAAAAGGAATAGTTTAAGGGAGGCAAAGGAGAAGAAATAATTTAAGGGAGGCAGGAATAATTTAAAGGCAGAAGGAACAAAATATGTTCTATAACTATATAACTATACAACTATATAAAATTAAACTAGACATCTAGAGCTATTTAGAAATTTAGATTCAAATATTTAGATTCAAATATCTGGAGATTACACAATTAAGCTTAACTATTGGTTTAATAACCAACAATTTATTCATTTGTTTTTGGGTCCTACCAGCAGTGCTTGAGGAACCACATACTCCCAGGCACTGAACCTGGTCGCTTGCATGTGAAGCGTGTGCTCCAGCCCTTTGAACTATTTCCAAGTCCAACAACAGACTTAATAACTGATGAGTCAAGAAAAAAATTACAAGAAAAATTAGGAACTATCTTGAGCCAACTTTGGACAATATTTTTGTTACACTCATATAAATAATGTTTACACACCCCAGAATTTGTGTCTTAACAAATTCTCCCCTTGGTAAATATTTTGGGAAACAAGAATATTGAGCTTAATTCTATGCCTGTGATCTCCAATTTATCAGCCAAATCCCCTTATAGCTTGTCAATGACAATTCCAGCCTTCAACATGCAAGTTATAAAAATCTCAATACCATCTTTATTAATCCTATTTTCCTTACATCTATATCTAATCTATCAATAAATTCCAGAGGTTCTAATTTAGAAACACCCAGGACAGAAAACAACAAATAAAAACACTTTAGAATCATATCATATGTCAATACACAATTTAATCACCTAGGTTCAAGTCATTACCTTCACTTAACTACCTGGCCTCTTTAATTATATCTTCCGTATAGCAGCCAATTATTTTTTAATTAAGTTCTATTACATCATTCCTCTCTGTAAAATCATCTAATAGCTCCTAATTTCACTTAGTATAAAAGCCAAAGCTTTCACAATGGTTTACAAAATCTGGGTAAAAAACAACTCCTATTTTACTGTAGTATCTAAAATTATGTAAAAGTGAATTGAACATGTACAACTCTGCACCCACCCCATTTATAAAAAATTGCAAACTCTATTCCAAGCAGTCCCTAATCTCCTTTACCCTTCCTTTAATCTATCACTGTTAAACATGTATCATGTAATTAATTTTATTATGCTTACTGTCTATTCTTGGAACATAACCCCTGGTTTAGCAGAAATTATGTGTTGAATGTGTATGCTGTGTGCACTAATGGATCCTAAGCCCCTAAACACGACTCAGTACATCATCAGAGCAGGTAACCCATATTTGGAAAACTGATGAACAGCCTGCTATAATGTATTGTGATCTGGCAAAAGAATGTTTATATGGTAAAAGAACGTTCATCATTGTTTGAAAGTATGAAAAAAAGGTAAGAAGTTTTCTGCACAGAAATTTAAAAAATAAAATACAATGAAAACTTTGATTTTTTTTGTACTATATTTTAAGTGGAAAATACCAGAAATGAGTCTTGAGTTTCTATGAGAAAACAAGAAATCATTAAATGTTATCCATAGGTACCAAAATATCTTTTAAAACTACAAAACTTTACAGTAAAATCTATCACATAAGTGGCAGAATTAAAACTATTAAAATAAAATTGTTGATATGGCAATACTCCCAAAGCAGCTTCAATACAATTTCTATAAGTATACCCATAACATTTTTCAAAGAAATAGACCAACATTCCTGAAATTCACATGGAATAATAAAACCCCACGAATAGCAAAAGCAATCCTTGGGAAGAAGATGGGAGTCATCACATTCCCCAACTTCAAACTGTACTACAAAATGGTAGTAATTAAAACAGCATGGTATTGGTATAAAGACAGACTCACAGACCAATGAAACAGAGTTGAATTTCCCGACAGAGACCATGAAATATATGATCATTTATTCTTTTATAGAGGAACAAGAAATATGAAGTGGAGCTAGGACAGCCTCTCCAACAAGTGGTGCTGGGAAAACTGGGCAGCTACATGTAAAAAAAAATTAATACAGACCTCTTTCTAATGCCATGCACAAAAGTCAGATCAAGATAGATTAAAGATCTAGGGGCTGGAGTGATATAGCACAGTGGGTTGAGCGTTTGCCTTGTACACGGCTGACCCAGGTTCGATTCCCAGCATTCCATATGGTCCCCCAACCACTGCCAGGAGTAATTCCTGAGTGCATGAGCCAGGAGTAACCCCTGTGTATTGCCAGCTGTGACCCAAAAGCCAAAAAAAAAAAAAGAATAAAGATTTCAACATCAGATTTGAATCCATAAGGTACTGGAAGAAAATGTAGGCAAAACCCTCCATGACATTGAAGCTAAAATCTATCATATAATGAATATTTTTCAAATGATGTTTTAAAAAATAAATCCATTCTGATAATAAGTAACAAATATAAAAGAAATGAAATACATTTCTAGAAAATTAAAGAATTTTTTTAACATTATTGGAAAATTCAATTGTTAAATAATCTACGATAAGTAGATAACATTACAGTTGAACAAATGCGTCCTATAACCTCACCAGCCATCACTTTAAATATCAATGTATAGACAGATAATTTATCAAACGTGATCATCCAAATTAATTTAAGACTCCTAGCATTACCTCTTCATCATTAGGGTCTACTACAGTTTCATCAAAGACTCGCTGGTTGTCAATAGTCTTCGGAACAGGCTTTGGTGGAGCCTAAATAAAAGAAAAAGGATGGAAACATTTAATACTATAAATTTTTTAAAAATTACATTTAGGCAGAAGTTCTCAACACTATCTGGCCTACTACTCCCTGTTCTTTTAAAAAAAAAAGTTCTGCAGCCTGTCCCCTCACCCCCTACTCCTTACTATCTTTGCCAGAATAAACAGAAAGCAGTCCCCAACTAATTGCATTAGAGATTACCACCTCACCCCACACTCATCTTTCAGTACCCCATTTTCAGGGGTAGTCCAGGAACAGTATCTCACTGTAGGAAATAATAAATTAGGAGGAAATAAACAGAAATTAAAGTAAACTCATTACACTTCTCACTTCAATCCCCAATATATCAATCCTAACAACAGTGTATATTCATCAAGAGGACTTTTCACTCTGTGAGCATACTACAACTGCTAATACTGAAGGATAAAATGTCTAATACCAAATCCCAACTGCAGACAGAAGAAACTGGAATCTAAAGAACTAACCCACTAAGGAGAAAAATTAAAAAAAAAAAAATTTTTTTTTAAGTACGTATATTTGTATCTTTGCTCCAATACTGAAAGCTATCCATTCAGATATGAATTCTAGTTTGGCTGATTAATGGACATGGAACAATTTACACAAAGAAATATGTAACATCCCATTATTAACAGAAACAAACAGAAAAATAGAGCAAGTGCCCAACTTATAAGGTAATAACACCAATGTGATGGAATACTGATAAAATCAGCAGTCATACGTACTCAGCTTAAACCAAGAAAATGTTAAGAGGGGCTGGGGAGATGGTTCAAGGAGCTAAAGCACATGCTTTGTACACAGAACCTACAGGTTCTGTCCCTTGTGCTGCATAGTCCCCTGAGCACTGCTTGGGGTGACCTTCAAATTGAGGAATAGCCCCTAAGCATCACCAGTTTGGTCCAGAAGACAAAATGTAATAATGATAATAATAACTAAAAATAAATCATAAATGCAATATTAAGAAGGAACATAATTGTAAACACACTGCCTTTTCTTAAAGTCACAGATACTATAACTACAGGCCATCTTCTCTCAGGGAGAAGTGTCTCAAACTACAAAACATTTAAAGTTATACAAACAAGGGAAAGGGAAGGAGAGATACTTCTGATGTGATATTTTGAAAACATCCCAACCACCACCACCATTATATCTATTGTTTAGGGACACAAACATACAAAGGAAAGATAATAAATAAGAGTGTGGGAACAATAAAGAGAGACTTCCTGAGTGGTTATCTTTGGAAAGGAAAGTAATCAGGATGCAGCACACCAGGTCTTGTGCTACACCATAATTTCTTAAGCTTGGGAAAAGAACGGGAAAAGGGTTGATATACTTGTTTCACATCTTTCAATACATCTAGATATTTCATAATAAATCTTAAATGTGATTCAACATAAATACAATGTAAAACAGAAAGTAGATGTGACTGAATTTTTTTACCTTATCACCAAGAGCCTCTCTCTCTTTCTTAAGTTTCTTCTTAGCTGCCAACTTTTCCTAAGGGGATTAAAAAGCAACACTGAGAAAACTACGAGTAAATCACAAGAACCCACACAAACTACAAATTACTAATGGAATGAATACTTAAACCAAGCAATCTTGGTGGATTATTAAAATAAGCATTCCAACACAGGTTTTCATACCCAAATTATTACAAACCAAATCAGCTGGTCACTTAATATGGTATAACAAAACTTTTGTGCCTTCAAAAAGTAATAATAATAATAATAATAATAATAACCCCTGAACAGGCAAGTTTGAGCTTCTCAAGTAAATGGACGTGCCAAATGTATACTAAAGAAATCAGGAAGTCTTTGTTGTTTTGCATTCTTAACTAGGGACAACCTAAGGAAGTTTACAACTGTGATGGCTGCTTCTCAGAGAAACAACAAAGGAATGTGAGATGAGTTGTCAGTCTGTTTTCAATAAAAATAATCAGTAGTTAAAGTAAAAAAGTAAAGTAAAGCCCCCCCGCCCATCATCGATTTGCTCAGCGGACCCAGTAACGTCTCCGTTGGAGACTTTGTTGTTACTGTGTCTGGCATATCGAATACCTCACCGGGAGCTTGCCAGGCATCTATGTTTTACAACCAAAACGTTTAAAACTGAGGACTTACTCTTAAAATTAAGAGGACTGTCTACTGTAAACGTGCATATTCTGAGTACCTCCTAAAAGAATGCTTTTATAAAAAAATCATTTTAAAAATTTTTTTCTAATTTTTTTATTTTATAAGTTAGTTCACAATATTTTATTACATTTAATATTCAAACACCAATACCACCACCATTACACCTTCCCACCAGGCAGATTATTACATGGTACGTCTAGATCAGGTAGCAATACTATTATAAATACAAGTATAGGCTCATTATAAATGGTTTTGTTTGCGTAAACAGACACGGAAATACTTCCATTTTCAGTGGCAAGAATAAACAGATTAAAAACAACAGTTGTAGAACACCATTTCCCCAAAGGTGCACACAGGAGGGGGGATCAGTGGATCCTCCACGTATCCCAATAGTATTTTGGCATTTGTGATAAATAAGAAAATAGTTAAGAAAATAGTCCACATTCTAAAAATTCTAGTAAGTGGAGGTAGGTACCAAAAGGCACTTCTATTTTATGCATGTGAGTTTTCCCATTGCTGGCTTCCGACAGCAATGCAGTCAGAAACCAACCTTGCTCTTTCATCTGAACTGCCCAGATTCGGTTTAGTCTCTCTAATCTGTTATCCTCCTAGAACTGTAGGCTCTATTCTGAGGAGCAAACACCCTGCACACCAAGTTTCGGTTAAAAGTCGGTGCAGCGTCAAAAGCGGCGAGAAACAACGCCCGGATTAATACAAATTCTCGGAATTCATGTGACAGCGGGTGGGCGGGGCGAAGCGTAAAGCCAAGCTTTTGCCTTTTCCAGTCAGGAGGATGTGATTTTTCACTACTAAGAGAGCAATATTTCTTGCTTTGCTTCTCCGCCAAAGGCCCGGAACGTGGCTAGTAAGGAGGCACGTTCCTGCGCCCCAGGGATTGAGCTGAACCACGAGGCTGGTGCCTCCCCGCTGCCGGGGAAAGAATCCGGCGGCTCCTTCCGCCCAATCACAGCCGAGGGCCGGCAGCGGGAGGAGCCGCGCATGCGCACCTCCGCCCACGACGCGGAAGAGACACCACGCACGCGCCTAGTCGGCTCCGCCCCTCTCCTACCTTCCGCTGCTGCTGTTTCCACCGCGTGAACATTACGTGTCGCCTCTGTTTGTTCTTAATCTCCGAAATGCTGAAACTTGGAGGGAAAGTCGGCGCTTTCGAGGGTTGCTCCCCGCTTTCCGTAGCTCCATCTTCAGCGACTGCACTCGCCTGAGCTTCAGGAACGGCTTTCCGTTTCACGCCTTTCTTTGCGCTGCCGCCGCTTTTATCCCCGGCCCGCGCCATAGCATTTGCGAGGAAACGGAAACGGCTTCCTCCTTTGACCCTTTTCCTTCGACTTTTGCTTCCGGGTCGGGAAAGTCTTAAAGCGGAAGGTGGCGTGCCGGTGGGCGTTCCCTGGATTGGGACTTAAAATTCCTTGGGGCTAGGAGGATAGTTTAGGACGCTTGGAGTTTAGTGGGCACTTGCTGTGTGCCGAGTCTGAATCTTTGCAGCGTCGAATCTTTTCAACCTGGGGGCTGAAGAGAGACGTAGTAGAGCTGGTAAGGCGTTTGCCTTGGACACTGCCCATCCTGCTTCGACCCCTGGTACCCAATATAGTCCCTCTCCCTCCCACCCCCCGCATCCCAGGAGTGGCCCCTGAGTGGACTCTGGGTGTGTGTGTGTGGGGGGGGGGGGGTCCCTTCTTCGCAAAGGAAAGAAACCGAAAAATGAGTGCACAAATAATATCAGGCAGGGGAAAAGCCGGGTATAAGAAAGTGCTGAGGGTCTCAGCATGGTTCTGATGGAAACGTTAGAGGTCGTAGATTTGGGGGCAGTGATAGTGATGCAGGATGGGTGACGGCAGTTCTTTGTTCATCCAGGGTTCCCAGGTTCTTCAGTATTATTGTAGCGCTGTCCTCCTGTTGTTCATCAATTTGCTTCAGCGGGCACCAGTAACGTCTCCTTTGTAAGACTTCTTGTTACTGTTTTTGACATATCGTATACCCCACGGGGAGCTTGCCAGGCTCTGCCATGAGGACGGGATACTCTCGGTAGCTTGCCGGGCTCGCCCAGAAGGACGGAGGAATCGCACCCGTCAGCCCCGTGCAAGGAAAACACCCTACCCAATGTGCTATCTCCAGCCCCTTCAGTATTATTAAGAATGAAAAATACTGAGTAGCAAAGATGTTCAGGCCCAGTCAGCAAAGTTTGTTGGTGAGTCAAAGGGAAAAACTCCCCAGCTGGGGAGGAACTTAGAACTAAGTTGAAAGTAGAGGTCTTCTGTGTAGGGCTATATATATGAGAACTTTATTTTTGTTATGGAGAAACAAGAATGTTTACAGAAAACGCAGGAATTTTGCAGATGATCTGATTCACTTTAGGATTTTTTACTTGAGCATTGGTTGTAGGTATTAGCCATTGTCTTTTAGCCTCTGGAGTTTGACATCTTGGGCAGAATCTGTGATCTTGGGGAATTGTTACTTTCCTTTCATCAGAAAGATTCCAGGAATTCACTGAAATGTTAAAAATATAGGAAGGGGACAGTCAAAGATGATACTGTTCCCAGCAGTTGGTAAGAAGAAATGGAGACTTCTTTCAGTGTGTGTGCGTAACTTCCTAAGGGGGCACTACTAATTTATAGTTGCATAGTGAAGAGATGTGCAAGGAAAGGAAGGGGGGCCCTGTCTAGGAGGGATCATAAGAACAGGGGAGTAGAGGGTGAAGGGGCTGCAATAGCTTACATAGGACCTGCAGGAATTTGGGCATTTTTTTCCCCTCCGCATGCAGCTTTCTAGGAGGATGGTAAGGAATGACATGCTGTGACTCACTCCTTTGAAGCATCACCCAGCCGCTTTTGAGAGTAGCATGTGGGGGGGGGGGGGGAGAAAACTGGGGTGTGCAGTGACTGTGGCGCCAAGTTCAGCGATTTTCGTGGAATTTCACAAGTGCTGAGGTTTGTTGGGAGGTTCCTGGGGATCAAATAAAGCGTAGGGGAGAAGGGGAGGCTTGTATGAGGACTCCCAGAACCTTGGAACTGAGCAGCTGGGAGGATGGGTTGGAGAAAGACTGCAGATTGAACAGAGTTGAAAGGTAAAATCAGGATTTCATTTCTAGAAATGTGACGCTTGAAACACTAGTGACTTGTAGTCATTGGAGTATATGCAGAAGATGCGAGGTGTGTGGATGGAAGAGCAGACAATTGGGGAGTCATTTGCAGTAGGTTTTTCTGAACATTGTAGTGAGTGCAGCTAGAGGAAAAGGGAACAAGACGAGACTGGGAGATGTCTGGCAGGAATGCCTAGAGACAGATGGGGACCCAGTAAAGGAGAATGAGAAGGGAAGATTGTGAATGCCTCAGGAGCCAAATAAGAACCATTTCTCTAGTGATTTTATAGAACTACCCTCCAAAAGTACTCTTTTTTTTTTTTTTGCTGATTGTTAGTTTCTCAGAAACTACTTTAGTTCCAAAATTTATATCTCATTGGGATATGCACATAGATTTTTTTTCTTTATTTTTTGAGTCACACCCAGCTATGCTCAAGGGTTACTCCTGGCTCCTCACTCAGAAATTACTCCTGGGGGACATATGGGATGCTGGAGATTGAACCCGACCCAGGATTGTCTAAGCAAGGCAAACACCCTACCCACGTATTATATCACTCTGTTTCTGATGTGGATTTTTGTGTGTATGTGTGTGTGTGTGTGTGTGTGTGTGTGTGTGTGTAAACTTGTTTTGGGGGCTATCCCATGTGGTACTGGGATAGTGAATTTGTATGCATGCAAAGCATATAGCCCATTTTGCTATCTTCCACACCCAGCATTGCATGTTTTGAGAACCTAATAATTTTGGCATTCGTGTTACATTTTTCATTCTTTCAAATTCTTTCCAACAGGATATTAAAAATATTAGAACTGTATTTTACAGACTACATAGTCCACTGGACTGGAGCAATAGCACAACAGGTAGGGAGTTTGCCTTACACGCGACTGACCCAGGTTCGATTCCTCTGTGCCTCTTGGAAAGCGAGCAAGCTACTGAGAGTATCCCTCCCACACAGCAGAGCGTGGCCAGCTCCCCGTGGTGGCGTATTCGATATGCAAAAAACAGTAACAACAATGGAGACGTTACTGTTACCTGCTCGAGCAAATCAATGAACAAGGGGAGGACAGTGCTACAGTGCAGAGCAACATAATCCACTATTAAGTCACAAACCCAAAGTTGAATTAGAAAATAAAAACTACTTTTCCAAACTGGATTTGAATTATACATACAACAGAAAGGGTAACACATAATTTAGTTTCAAAATCACTCTACAGCTGGGAGACACAGTATAATAGATAGTTGCCCTGCTTGTGACTTACCTGAGATTCACCCCCCAGAGCCCCATATGGTGCCCTGAGCGTCACCAGGAGTGATCCCTGAGCAAAGAGCCAAGAGAAAGTCTTGAGCACCGTGATGTGTGGCAAAAGAAAGAAGAGAGAGAGGGAAGAAGGGAAGGAAGAATAAGAAGAACAAACATACAGGCTTAGCTTCAATTAGTCATAACTTATTCTATCACTTAAGCACTATAATTAGAAGAAAGAAATTAGAAGGACAGAGGAACAAGAAGGAGAAGGAGACAAGACTATTTTCTGAAAAATTTCAGACTGAAAAAATACTTTGGAAGCCTCTTCTAGACTTAATGTGTTAGCTTGACATACTCATTTTCGCCTGAGTACAAAATAATACAAAAATGGATTTAGAAAAGTTTACTCAAAATGGCACAAAAATGAGAACATAATGTGCTTAACATTAGGAGTTTGTGGCTTTTTTTTGGGTAATAACAACTGTGTGAATTAAGTGAAGAATTTTTATTAGAACAAAATTCTTATTCTGATGAAGTAAAAAAATCTTTTATATATACACATATCTATTCAAATATATATTCAATGTATGTGTACATATATAGTACTCAGATAAAAGAATGGGTTAATCATATTGGGTGCTTTGTTCAGATCATTGTTCAAATCTTGATTCAAGTCACTTAAAATGCTATGAAATCTCAATTAAATCACACAATCTTGGTGAGCCTCAATTCCATCACTTGTAAATTAGGACTAATTATGCTGCCACATGGGTTGTTAAGATGATGTTAAGGAAACACACCTCATAAATGATAACTAGCTATTTTTATTTTTATTCTTAAAAAATGCTATTCATTGTAAAAAATAAAAGATATGCTTGACCCTCAAGTAGCTTCTAGTATAAAAGTTAAGATACAGTTTTACATTCAACCCCATTAAAAATGGGGAGATAAAATGAATAGAAACTTTGACAAAGAAGAAATCCGAATGGCTAAAAGACACATGAGAAAATGTTCCACATCATTAATCATCAGGGAGATGCAGATCAAAACCACAATGAGATATCACCTCACACCGCAGAGACTGGCCCATATCCACAAAAACAAAAGCAACTGGTGCTGGCGCGGATGTGGTGAGAAAGGGATACTCCTTCACTGTTGGTGGGAATGCCGACTGGTTCAGCCCTTTTGGAAAACAGTATGGATGATTCTCAAAAAACTAGAAATTGAGTTCCCATTTGACCCAGCAATACCACTCCTGGGAATATATCCCAGAGAGGCAAAAAAGTATAGCCGAAGTGACATCTGCAATTGTCTGTTTATTGCAGCACTCTTTACAATAGCCAGAATCTGGAAAAAACCTGAGTGCCAGAGAACAGATGACTGGTTAAAGAAACTCTGGTACATTTACACAATGGAGTACTATGTAGCTGTTAGAAAAGACGAAGTCATGAAATTTACATACAAGTGGTACTACATGGAAAGTATCATGTTAAGCGAAATGACTCAGAAAGAAAGGGATAGACATAGAAAGATTGCATTCATCTGGGGAACATAAAGTAACAAAATAGGAAACTAACACCCAAGTATGGCAGAGATTAGTACCAGGAATTTTACTCAATGACCCGGAGGACAACCACACATGTTAGGGGAAAAGGGAGCTCAGAAAGAGAAGGGAACATCAAATAAAGGGTGTTGGGAGGATCCACCCACGATGGGAGAGCATGCTGAGGGTAGACTATCGACCAAACATGATTGCTACTCGATGCCTCTTTTACAGACCACAGCACTCAAAAGGAGAGAGAGGGAAATGCCCTGCCACAGAGGCAGGGTGGGATGGGGGCTGGGAGGGAGAAGGGATATTGGGATCCGTGGTGGTGGGAAATGCGCACTGGTGGAGGGATGGGTGTTTGATCATTGTATAATTGAAACCCAAGCACAAAAATGTGTAAGTCTACA